TATCAGTTCAGAAGGGCCTGACCCTGGCACAAGGAGGAGGTCTGGCTTAATTCATACTAACCTGGGAACTTCTGTAAAAATAAATCAGCGAGGAGATGTAGACCTTCAGTTGTTTTTTGTGTGAATTTCACCTCTCGTAGGAGGTAACATTTGATCTCTTTGGATACTGAACAATGATTTTGAATTATCCCAGGTTGTTCAATTTTAACATTTTCCTTCTATATTTATATGTCACGTATGTGGATTTCAGACACACAGAAATTCGTCATAAAAGTCTTTAAGAAGTTCATTTGCACTGAGACTTGGTTGGGTTTTCAGAATTCATGGTAGGGCCAGGCAGGCCTCAGCTACCCTGCTCCTCACCCGTCTTCCCAACGTAAAAATGTGCCTCCCTTCTGCCAGGAATGCTGTTTTGGGTCTACTGCAGGAAATTATGTGAAAAAGGAAAACGTTAGTTTACTGTTTGTCTTTCCCTTTCTTGATCATTAATTTGAGCTCTTTCAGGCTTGTTTCTTAAGCCTCCTGCTTTTCTAGCTGTGTTACAGCACAGGACCTCGTAAATGTGACAGGGTGGGGGAGGGCGACTTGGCGGTCAGTATCTAGAGGCACTTGTCCAGCAAGTGGATGGACATGCTTTTCTTTTCCCTTTTGTTTCTCTCTCCACCCCCGTCTTAGATTTTTGAATGTCATGCTTATTTTTGGTGCACTTTAAACTATGCAGCTGATATCTTTGAGGAATTTTTCTCTGGACTGTGAGCTTTGACTTTGCTGCTTGTTATATTACTTAGTATTTTCATAGTATCTCTGATTGCTGATTATTTATGCTTGTTTTAAAGTTGCCCCTGCTTTCCCCATAGTTCCTTGATAGCTTAATTAGTCAGCAGTGTGGTGCTGTGCTCTCTTTGGGATCGGACCTGAAGTCATTATGACTAATGTTTCAGGCGAAGCGCATTCTTTGGAAAGCAGGACATTGGAAATGTGGATTTTCAGGTTCTTCTTAAATGTGCCACTGTTGCTCCTTCAGTAAATATGTCGTCTTTTGTCTAGCGTGGGGTTGGATGAATGGGGAGCAGCAGTTGAGCTAAGCTGTCAAAAGATGGAAAAACAGCAAACCCTGTCGTCTACCTAGCCTTTGGGAGGAGGAAGCCCTGTCTCTGGCTCATCTCTCTCCTCTGCTGGCGTTACTGAGTCAGAGCGCTTGAGGGGTATTTGTTTTCAACTGCAGCTTTCCTGGCTGGCCTGGCCATTCTAGATGTTGGCTCTCTCAGGAGTCTGCATCTGTGCGCGCTCTTAGGGGACGAGATCTGCTCTCCCGCAGAGAGCACTACTGTGAAGATCATGAGGGAGAAAAACTTGCTCTTTGTGTTCAGTGAACTTAATAGCTAGTGAAAAAGATGCATGTGGAGCACTTGAGGCAGAATGAAGTAATTGCTAACTAATGGGGAGAGGAGGGAGCACTTCTCTGACCAGGGGAAGCAGCAAGACTTGCCACACAAATTGATATGTGAATGGAGCCTTGAAGAAGAAAACCTGGACTTGAGCAGATGAGGGGATGGCTGCAGGTTGTAAATGCCCATGTCTTTGATGGTGGGGAATTGTGCACTCAGTGCTCTCTTTTTTCCTTAGTCTTTGATGCAGTTTTCCCCCACCCTGCATGTGTTGTCAAGGCAAGAGTAAAAATAGCACTGAACAGTTTATGCAGTTGGATCTCAACCCATACACCTTGCTTTGCACTGCCTTTGGGGGGCCCATTTATGATAGGAGAACTGCCAGTGATGTGTGAGGCAGATGGGGAGCAGGTGTTGCTCTGGGCACAACTGGTGTGCTCTCTGCCAGGTGTGCTCTCTGCTGGAAGGTCTCTCTAGATTGATTCTGTTCTGAGCCTGGGGTAGCCCTGCTGAGAGGCCTGGAGAGTAAAGAGCTGTCTAAAAGAAGAAAGGCACTGCCCTTGTGTGGTGTCGATCCAGCTATGTAGGGCGATTGGACAGGAACCCTTTCGTCATGTCCGAAGCTGGGAGAAGTAAAGCAACCTAAGAATGATGGGACTTTGTGAGAACTATTTTGTATTTGCAATTCACCTTTGAGAATTTTTACTTTATTTTTAGCTGTTTATCAACTCAGGAAAACTTGTGGGGTTCCGGCAGTACCCACAGGATTTTCCTTCTATTTACATAGACCCCTTCCACGAGTTTGCATGTTGATGGTCCCAGACTAAACACTTTTAAAAGGTTTTATGTTTTCTTAAGAAATTATTCTTTCAATTGCATGGGTCCTATTTTTAAATTAACCCAGTAGTTTGCAAAGATGGGTTTTAAAAATATATATAGTAATAATATGTATGTAGTGATATATGTGAAAATACACGTGTCAAGGTCTAGTGTGTGTCTATACCATGTTTTATGTCTCCATTTCTCTGTGATAGATACTTGGGGTGCTTCTGCCTGTCTATTGTGATTAATGCTACTGTGAACATTAGTGTGCAGATGTCTCTTCAAGGCTCTACTTTAAGTTCTTTTGGATATATATCCAGAAGTGGAATTCCTGACCAGATGTTAATTCTATTTTTAATATTTTGAGGAACTGTCATATTGTTTTCCTTAGTGGTTATACAATTTTACATTCCCACCAGCAATGCATAGAAGTTCCAGTTTCTCCCAGATCCTTCCCAATGCTTGTATTTTCTGTATATTATATTTTGAATAACATCTTAATAGGTGTGAGGTTTGACTTTTCACTCTGCTGGTTGTGCTCTTTGATACTGCAGAAAAAATACTTAAATTTGTCAATTTGTCTATTTTTGCTTTTGTGTTTGGCATCATATTCAAGAAATTTTTGCCAAATTCACTGCCATGCAACTTTTTTCCTTTGTTTTCTTATAGAATTTTTATCATATTAGGTCTGTTTAGATATTCATTTCATTTTGATAATTTTTGTTTATGATGTAAGGTAAAGTCCAGCTTCACTCTTTTGCATGTAGATATCTAGTTTTCTCAACAGTTTGTTCAAGTGACTTTCCTTTCTTCACTGAGTGATCTGGTAATCTGGTACCCTTGTCAAAGATCATTTAATCAAACACACAAGGCTTTATTTCTGGGTTCTATTCCATTAGTCTATATGTCTGTCGTTATGCCAGCACCACAGTTTTGAACACTATTGCTTTATAATATGTTTTGAAATCAGGAGATACTGAGTCACTCAACTTTTTTCTTTTTCACAAAAATTTTGGGGTCCTTGAGAGTCCATTTGAATTTTAAGATGATTTTTTTTCTGTTTCCGCAAAAAGAAAAAAGCAAAACTGGTATTTGACTAGCAGTAGAACAGTATTGCATAAATCGAACTTTTAAAATAGAAAGACTTAAAAAAATCACATCAGGAATCTGTTGAAAAAATTCTGGTAAGCCAAGAAGCCTCATAAGTATATATCCAGAAGGTGGGATCACATCTTCACATGTTGTTCTTACCTCCCTTGAATATGGTCTAGGCATAGCAGAAAGTACAGTTGCCAGCTTATTCCATAACCTGTGTAATATCTAGAACCACTTTCCCAAAGATAGCTTCTTCATAGAACCCTCCAGCTCCTCCTGTCCCTGGTCTCAGTCGTTCTTGTGTGCTCAGGCACCCTTGGGCTGGAGAGATTGATAATCAAGGCAAATGAAGTAGAGAGCGTGCTTGCAATCCTGAACACTGGGCTGCAAAGCTGTAGAGCTGCCCCCTCTGCCCTGACTTCACCCCTCGCCTGTGGGGCAGGGAGTAGGTGTGTGCAGAGATGGCTCAGATCTGGCCCAGGGCTCTGTAGTGATTTTTCATTGTCCTGGAGGTGGCAGGAGATTTTCAGGAGGGTGGGTGGGGAATGGGTATGGGTGGGGAGGTTTGACATGTTTTGGTAGTAATTGTTTTCTGAGAAAATTGTATTAGAGAATTCATCTTTGAAACTGGTTTTTGTTTGTTTTGTTGTTGAGTTTGCCTGTTTAGTCTGTCTCCTCTGAGACTAGATCCTAATGTGCTATCAGCTCAAAGGACAACCGTGATCCCTAGTTGGGAAGAGGGTGGGAAGGTGGGGGAGTGGAAGTGGTTGGGGACAGAGAGGGTCCCCATGAGCCATCATGAATGGTGGTATGTAAGGGAGGGTTCATCTTGGTGGTGTTGCAGGTCTCCCATTCCTAGGATCTCTCCTGTAAATGGTTTTCTTTCACCTGAAGCTGTAGTGGAATGCCATGTCAGTCTTACCTGTCTGGAGACAGGGTTGCCTTACTCGTGCTTTGTCATCTTTGACATTTCCCGGGGAGATGTTGGTCCCTCCACCTGCTTCTCTGCTGTGTGGTGGAATGTGTCACCTGACCCCGGAGTGCCAGGTGGTGGGGTGGTGGTGTTAGAGTGAGCCTGTGCATGAGGGCATCCTACAAACTGCTGCATTCATGGCTTTAAATACCACCCTGCCTGTCCCTTGGTTGGGGGCAGGGGTACTGGGGATGTTTTGCAGTTGGGTCATAAGTAAAACTAGGCTGTTTTCTCCCATATGTTTGTGCCTTTGCTTTTGTACCTGGTTGGTTCTACAAATCACATGTTTATTTCATTTTTTATTTTTCTAAAGATTTATTTATGCATACAAGAGTTGAGGTGTAGGCCAGAGATGTGGGGGGTTTTAGATATTCATGTTTAATTCTGTGTCTGAAAAATCAGACTTCGATCTGATTTAATGCTTTACCTGAAACAGATCTCAGGAAACACTCCACTCAGTAATCAGATTGACTCTAATTAGAGGAGACCAGGCCCAATCCAAATAACTGACCCTATTTGTTCCAGATAATTAGACTCTCTGTTTTTGTTTGAAGTTCTTCTAATTGTAAATGTAAATTAGTTCTGATGAAAAATAATCCATAGCAACTAGAATTCAGTAAAAGACATGCAAACATCTCTCTTGTACAGCCTAATTCTATGGAGTTCAGATTTTTTGAGTGTTTCTGTTGGAAATAGCATACTTGCATTTTTGTCTCCTTTAGTCGACCAGATATACCACCTGGCCTCCCCAGCCTCCCCTCCTAACTACATGTACAACCCTATCAAGACGCTGAAGACCAATACAATCGGCACGTTGAACATGCTGGGTAAGTGTCCTTGCCTTCTTTTATAGCTGCTGTAGGGAATATTTTAGATAATTCAGAGCAAACTGACTTCTGTTAGAGTTTGATCTTCTCCTTTCTCATCCTTTTATAAAAATGCTTTTCCCCATTCAAGGGCTCCATCCTCGTGACCTAATCACCTCCTAAAGTCCCCACTTCCAATTACCATCATTGGGGATTAAATTTCATCATGTGAATTTAGGGGGTACATAAACATTCAGTCTAAAGCCAGGCATTTCCCACCCCCTGACACAGGGTGTTTATACCTTTGGACTGGAGAGGGGTTTTTTGATTGTGGTCCTTGAGTGGGTTGGTGTGGGTCACACACGGGGTGTCAGCAGTTCACCTGGAAAGAGTCAGGGGAAAGCTGTCTTTATGGGTTGTAGAAACTGAGAACCTGGCTCTGGACTGAAGTGCAGGAGTCTCCCGAGAAGTGCAAGATGAATGAAGAGCACCGCAAAAGTGGCCACATGTGTGTATACTCCAACAACTTGCCTTAGATTTAGAACTGTGGATGACATATGCATTTTAATGCTTGAAATTGGAGACTTGCTGATGTTTGGCCCAGGTACAGAAAAGCTTGGGGCTTTGATTAGTTGCAAAGTGGAAGACGGGAACCACTTTTCAAAATGTCAAGTGAAAATTGGATTTAATTACAGGAACGTTTCAAACAGGTTCTCTAAATGGATTGGAGAGATACGGCACGAAGTTTTAATTTGAGCAAAGTGTGGTGATGGGGGACTGAAAGGGCAGCGGGAGGTTGGCTTGCAACCAACATTGGGAGACTGAACATTTTGGAGACTTCAGCTCTGAGTGAAATATAGTGGTCCATTCTCCTAATCTGCAAAGGACATTTGTCCTTGTTACCACCCCTGCTCTGACCTCCAGATAGGACAGAGTGCCCTGCCTGTGCCGAGAGGTGGGGTGTGGTAGCAGCCGATCCCTGTTCTTTCACCACAGGCTCCTTCCACTCCCCAAACTCTCCCTACACTTCTCCAACCCCTTCTCCCCAACCCCTCCTTTGCACTAAAACTAGATAGAGCAGAGGAAAAGTCACTGAGCATGTGGTATTTAAAAGATACCATTATTTAAAAGATACCATTTAAAAGATACCATTCATTCTGCCCGTTAGGGCGACGTGGGCGCTGCACCCAAGGCACCATCCTGTCTACTCTGCAGGGACATTGAGATAAGGATATACTCAGCACTTCTGCCAGGGAGCGTGGCGTCTCACAGGAAGGCACCACAAGGGTACAGGCATCCATGGTTCCGTGGAGGAAGAGGGAGGTTCAGAAGAGAGGAGCCAGGGAAATGCTATTGAGCTCAGGCAAAAATGACTTTTTTTTTTTTAAAGATTTATTTATTTATGCATACAAGAGCTGGTACAGGCCAGATATGTGGGGGAGGGGTGTGTGAGAGGATTCACCAGAGACAGAGTGGGGAGCAGAACAGGCAGACTGACTGAAATACACTGCTGAGGGGAGCAGCAGGTGAGACAGGAGAGGTCTGCTGTACCATGTGGGTTGCTTCCTGGCTGGCCGGGGATCAAACTCATGCTGCAGAGGCTGCGGATTGCTTCATAGTGAGGTGCTTAATCCTTTGCACCACCAGGGGGGCCCCCAAAAAATGACTCTTGAGCTTGGCTTGAAGGACAAGATTGAACTTGGAGGCATGAAGGAAGTTTAGGTAAAGGGTCTTTTGGAATTATGTAGATGAAAGCTGAAGGGAGACAATATCTAGGTTGGAAAGAAACCCAAATGGGGCTTGGTATCTGAACTGTGAGGAACTGTCGAGTCTATTTCACATTTGAGAGTGCACGCACTGAACCTTTCCAGCTCCTTCCTGGTAGGCTTCCTCCTGATGAAACCTCTTTGTCCAGTTGTCAGCACAAACACCTGGGTGCTGCTGCAGCACAGGTGAGCCCCTGCCAGTAGGGGTGCTGGGGCACATAAGTCCGGTATCTTGGCTGTACCCATGTTGGTCTCCTGGGTGTGATAATCAGTGGATGATTTTCTTAGGTTTTACCATTGGGGGAAGCTGGGTGAGGGCGCATGTGGGCGCATGAGAGCACAATCTTTGCGTTACTTCTTTTTTTTTTTTTTTTTTTTAAAGATTTTTTTATTTATACAAGATCCGGAGTACAGGCCAGATTTGCGGGAGGGTGAGAGGATTCACCCAAGACAGAGTGGGGAACAGAACAGGCAGACTGATGAAATACACTGCTGAGAGGAGCAGCGGGTGAGACAGGAGAGGTCTGCCGCGCCATGTGGGACCCTCGCTGGTCGGCCAGGATCGAACCGGCGCCGCAGAGGCTGCGGACAGATTCACAGCACTGAGCTCAACCGCCTGCGCCACCAGGGGAGGCCCTCTTTGTGTTACTTCTTATAACTACATATGAATTTATAGTTATCTCAAAATATGAAAGTTTTTAAAAGTGCCAGGATCCTTCCTATTGAAGGTATGACCATTGTCTCTACACAGTGGTTGGTGTGGTTTGGTAGTATATCTGTACCCCTCATAGACCTCTGTGGGGTGAAATTGGCAGAGAGGGACATGGGTCTGTGAGGTTGGTAGCCTCAGTCTGATGTGCTCCTGTCCGTCAGGAGCCTGCCGGTGTGTCTGCAGGACTTTCCATGCTTAGTGACAAGGTCGTACTGTTCCATTCCAAATGCAAGGAGCAAATGCAGGAAAGGCTTATAGCAGGATGGAGGGATGTGGTAAGTGCTTCAGGGAAGGTACTGTTTAAGCTGAACCTTGTAGGAGGCAGGAGAGAGGACTAATAAGTGCACTGATCGGACATCATCAGAAGATTGCAGAGAGCATGTTGAGGAAGTAGTAGGTGGATGGTTTGGGGGGACTAAGCAATGGAAATTGAAGTGCAAAGGGCCTTGCCTTCTGCCTACCAGGCTGGAGTTGCCTAATAATAATGGGTGATATGCTGGGACAAAGGAGACTGTGAAACGAGCACTCATACCATCTCTCTCAAACCAGCAGAATTTCCTTGTCTCCTAATAGTTACAATTAATAGTTTACAATTAATTTTAACTATCCAAACAAATTCTTTGCTTTTCTGGGCTCATTTGTGTTTATCTCACTGTTTCTGTTTTTATTTTGGTTCCAAAGTAGGTGCAGTAGGAGTGACTAATTGAAGATGCACGGATGATCGGATCCCATTAATAACCAAGAAATTACTTACGCTGCTTGCAAAAATATGTGTTCATATGTTTTCCTTGTTTCCTGAATTGACCATTTTATCATATCTTTGCCTTCTATAGGACTAGCGAAACGAGTGGGTGCTCGCCTGCTCCTGGCCTCCACCTCTGAGGTGTATGGAGGTGAGTGGTGGGACAGTGTGGGGTGGTGCTTGCTTCATCCCCATTGGGCTGTTGTAAGGGCAGAGGGACTCCAAAGTGAGCCCTGGATTCTGTTTAGAGAAGGCCCAGCTTGCTCCTTCCAAGCTATTGCACGCCAGTCAGGCTTCCCCTCCCCACTGGTTTCCATGTTCCCTCCCTGGGTGGGATGACCCTGTTCTCCTGCCAAGGCCTCAAGGACTGTGTCGCCTTGCCAGTGAGGACCCACTGTGTTCAAATCTATCTAGAAGTTTTTGCCATTCTCTGAAAGGGCCCCAGAAATCAGATTCATAGGGGGTATTTTGCCAGTGTAGTTAGCGTGTGTGATTCTTCAATGTGAGCGATGCGTGCTGCAAGCTGGCCTGCCAGGAACCTGGGGTCGGCCTTTGAAGCTTGTGTCGTGAGGGGACCTCTGCTGTGCCTCTCCTGTTACCTGGTAATGCCTGGTAATGCCAGAAAACTCAGGAGCCTGTTTTCCAACCGACAGCACTTCCCTATGCCCAACAGGCCATTAAGGACACCAGCCTTAGGAGTAGGGTGGAGGGGGCTGTGGTTTCGGCCCCCTGTGCCTTCTGTTCAGCCGCAAAACCATGGGAGCAGGGTTGTGGAAACTTCTCAGTGGATGCAGCAGAAGCCAGACTGTGGCTGAAGTGCCCTATCTACTTCACATTCCTGCAAGGAGAAGTGAGGAAATGAAAGGGCAAAACCGGGAGAGATACATTTTTTTTTTTTAATATAAAAGCACCAAATTAAAAAAAAATCAGAGAAATTTTGCTAACAGCAATTTATATTCTTCATAATCCCTATGAAAAGGTGGCGTGCCTCTGCTTCTTTGAAATCCTGGGTGCTTCCAGGGCCAAAGGTCCACTGGCTTTTGACATAAGCAGGTGGACACTGCATGCCCCTCCCTGTTTTTTCCAAATTTGTCTCAATAAAGTGTCAGCAAGTTCCCTCCTCAGGGCAGTGGGTGAGTCCCCTTTAGTTCCTCCTACTAGCTCACAGAGGAGTGGTGTGTACAGTCCAGCAGGCTAAATCTTTTTAAAGGTCTCAAATATAAAATACTCATGTTACCTGTCCATGGCCCAGTGACATCTCCTGCCACCTCATAATTATCCACATATTTGCCGAAAGCTTGTGTTTAGGTTCTTGAATAATGTTTTGCTAAAACTCAGGGAAATCACTAGTTTTTCTACACTGATTTTTGGTGAGTGCTTATGTGGTCAGTTAGCCTCTCAAAATGCTGAAAGGGGGAGACTGATTGCTTATCAATTCTGATTCTAGAACTTTACTTTTGTAATAACAAAATGATTTTTCATTTTTTTTCTCAAAGTGTTTTTGAAAAAAGTTGTCAGGAGCCTTAGACATCCGGGCATTTCAGTGCAGGTGGTTTTAGTTGGGGGTGTAGGGTTTGTGGAACCTTCTCTTTCTTGTCCTTTGCCAAATGCATGACTCTCTTTTGGAGTTCATTGGCTTGCCTGGTCTCTACCTGAAATCCCCAGAAAAGGTTTGATGTTAACTGCTTGGTTACATCTGTATGGATTTAAGTGATAGGTTTTCTTCTCTCAGGGAGTATTTTTGGCCTTAGAGCTTTTCTCTCATCATGCCATAAAAACTGCCCCTTCTTAAGGGAACTTGAAACCACAGCATTAGATGGAGGTCGGAGTGTGCCCTGTGCTCCTGCCACGCCACAGTGGCTGGGCGGTCATGTGTACGTCCCTGGCTGGTCCCATTGTGCCCGTGAGCCAGAGTCAGACTTGACTACAAGATAAACCTGAAATGAGTTTATAACATGGAGTTTCTGTGCCTTACCCAAATTTCTTGGCAAGGACTTCTACACTTTATACATGCTGTATAAAATTTCTGATGTGTCAGATAAATTAGCTACTCACTCACATTCCAAAGATATGCTTGTTAGAAATGAATATGTTGCTGGGTTTCTTTATGGTCTACTCCCCTGATCTATCTTAAAGCCTGATTGATTTACACACTAGTAAAATAGGAATTGGGAAGTAGAATGTGTGTTGAAGGAACGAAGCAGCTATTTGCCATTGGACACTCCCTCCTTCCACCTGCTCCACACTGAGCCTGCTGAGCTCAATGACGGTCTGTTTTGTTCTGGTGACAACGCATGTAAGAATCACTGTGTTCCACAGAGTTGCTCTTAAAATTATTCCAATAAGCACATGCCTATATTTATAAGATATGATTATATCTTACATGTAAGTTTGCCTGGAAATACATTTGTACAATATGTATCTTCATACAGATTATATTTATTTGTTTTGTACAACAGTTTAAAAGTTAGTAACAGTTTGTGGGAGAGAGGGGATACTTAAGAGATCTTTGATCTTTTTTTTTTTTTAAAGATTTATTTATTTATACAAGCACTGGGTATAGTCAGAAGCGCAGGAGGGTGAGAGAATTCACCAGAGCCAGAGTGGAGAGCAGAGCAGGCAGAAGTACACTGCTGAGGGGAGCAGCGGGCGGCAGGAGAGGTCTGCGCGCCATGTGGGACCCTCCTCTGGTGGCCGGGGAGCAGCCGGGGATTGAACCGGCGCTGCAGAGGCTGCGGGCAGCTTCGCAACCCAGCACTCAACCACTGCACCACCGGGGAGGCCCAGATCTTTGATCTTTTAATTTTTTTTAAATTTTTTTTAAGATTTATTTATGATACAAGAGCTGGGGCACAGGCCAAAGGGGGGGTGTATGTGGGGGGGACCGGTGAGAGGATTCAACAGAGACAGAGTGGGGAACAGAATAGTCAGGTTGACCGAAGTACACTGCTGAGGGGAGCAGCAGGCGAGTCAGGAGAGGTCTGCTGCGCCATGCGGGTTGCTCCTTGGCCGGCCAGGGGATCGAACTCATGCTACAGTGGCTGCAAATAGCTTCATAGGTTGTGTCTTAACCACTTGCTCCACCAGAGAGGCCCCGAGATATTTTATCTTTTAATTCATTTTTTTCCCCTGTAAAATACCATCATTATTTAATATGGGCGCTAAAAAGATCATGTTCCACTGGAACTTAGAAAATGGACTGTGCACGGGACAATGAAGATCCCTCCTTATAAATCTCTCTCCTTTTGTAAACATTTGCATCATCTTTCCAAAGCTCCTTTTCGTATCATAAATATTCATTGTTCATAATGCATGTGAACTTGAATAAAGGGGAAAATGAAAACATGGTCTCATTTCCCCCCACTCACAGATCCTGAAGTCCACCCACAGAGTGAGGATTATTGGGGCCATGTGAATCCAATAGGACCCCGAGCCTGCTATGATGAAGGCAAACGTGTTGCAGAGACCATGTGTTATGCCTACATGAAGCAGGTAATGGGCCAAGTTTTGGGGGGTTGGGGTAGACAGTAGATAGCCTGTTCCTTTAGACGTGAAGCTCTCTCGAGGACTGGAATGCTACATAATTTGGCCTGGGGGTTGGTGGTAGAGAAACCTAGTTTCTCACCATTAGAAATGAATAGTATTGCCAGCAGCTTTCTCCATCTATCTCTTGGTTTTTTTTTTTTGTTTTTTTTTTTTAAGATTTATTTATTTATGTATACAAGAACTGGGGTACAGGCCAGAGGTGTGGTGGGTAAGAGGATTCACCAGAGACAGTGGGGAACAGAACAGGCAGATTTATGGAAATACACTGCTGAGGGGAGCAGCGGGTGAGGCAGGAGAGGTCTGCTGCACCATGTGGGTTGTTCCCTGGCCGGCCGGGGATCGAATTCTGGCTGCAGATAACTTCACAGGTTGCGTCTTACCCCCTTGCGCCACCAGGGAGGCCCCAAATCAGTGAAATTTTTTAACTTCTAGTTATCTAATTGATATAAAAGTGATTTATTATTGCTTTATTATTATTGCTTATTTATTATTGCTTTAATTTGAACCTCTATATTTATTTCTATCATTTCCTGCTTTTAAAACAGTCATTGTGCCAGGGGCTTCCCATGGATAGCTTCCTGTTAGGAATGGACAGGCCCCCACACATTGGCCAGAGTGTTTCGGGGCGGAGTCAGTCTTGCGTGTCTGAGGTTACACTTTCTCACCTACTCATTGGAGGGGAAAGAGCCCGCTAACCTGGAGGTGAAGGGCTGGCCCTAGCATGCTGTCCTGCCTGCCTCAGGATTGGCAGGAGCTGATAAAATGTCATTCAGGGGCCATCAGGTGTCAGATGAAGGTCCAGGCTGGTCCATCAGTGACCATCCTGTTGTGCTTGGACCAGTATTATGAGTCTGCATGAAGAGACCGCATAGAAGAAGGGACACATGGGTAAATCAAGGTGGACAGGAGTGTTTTAGGATGCGTGGACTTGTGGTGGCCCTTCCTCTCAAGACTCGGAGACCAGTGGTTGTCTGTGCCTGGGAGCAATGCGCTCAGACCAAGGATGCCCTCCTGTAGTGGGCTGCAAGACCACCCTGTGAGCTGTGTGAGGGGCAAGGAGGTCAGGGTGCTTGGTGCTGAGTTGCTGATAGCAAGGTTGGGGTGTGTTGAGTGACATTTTTTGGGAGGAGAGGTAACAGAAGCTTTTTTTCCCCTTGTATTTTGATGAAATGCTAACATTAAAAACCCACAAAATAACATTGTACTGATGAGGGTATTGAGGGCTTTCTGCTTTTTTTCTCAGCCAGAAGCAGAACTAATTACTTTCTAAGCTATTTTGGGCACTTGACTTATATTATTTGATCCATTTATTTTAAGAAACATTAATAAATTTTGGAAAGGTCATACCTATGTCATTTTTGAGCCCAGAATATCTTGACCCAAAAGCTTAAATGGTCCCCCAAGTACAGAGAGAACAACCTGTGTATGTTAGTAGCTAAGAAAATAACTGTGAGTTCCTGTGAAGCATGTAATTGCATTTTGTCACAAAATAGGTTTGAAGAGTATTCTTGTTCTTAGCTATTTTCTTCTGCCTTTAGTCTTGGAGAGTATTTCTTAGTGGTTTTTACATAGGTAAAGCTGGTGGGCAAATAGGACATTTTTATTGAACATACAGACTTAATAAAATGTGTGTAAGTATATATTATGTTAAGGTATGCACTGGTGGATATTTATACTGTTTAATTAATATAGTCAGCATTTATTGAGCACTGACTGTATACCAGAAACTGTATTACATACTGGGACACTAGCCAGGGTCACAATTCTCACACATACTAGCTAACCCTGGCTGCATACATGTCTCCAGCTCACGTGCAGGGGTGTAGGAGCGTGTCTGAGCTTGTGGAGGACTCTCTGAGCTTGTGGAGGACTCTCGCTCTGCGAGAGTCTGACTTGTGCTTTGTACCTGGGAGGCCCCAAGGAGAGTTGTTGTTTGGCTGGCTGGAAAAGTTGAATCTGCATTGCAGTTAATAGTGTACTTCTCATTGGGATGCTGGGTTCTCTATGTGAGAACAATGGGTAGATTACTTTCTACTGTGATGTTAAATTTGAGAATGGCCTTCTGGAAAATAGACTCAGCATATGTGAGGCAGCTTGGGGATTAGGCTGATGGGTAGCACCAAGTAATCTGTAGATTTCTCAAGGCTAACCACATTGTCGGGCACTCTGCCCAAGGGCTCATGTCTGCCCAGGTGAGTCATCTAGAAATAGTACCTCAGAAGACCTGCTCCTGTGACATACAGTGACTTGTAAGAGGGCGTGATGTAACCACCTATCCACAGCTCCATGCCTGCTCCGGCTAGGCAGCATTAGGTCAGGGAGCAATGGTGCTGGCCCTGCAGATAGCAGAGTCCTGTTTGGATCTGGTGTCTATGTAGCAACCAGGTGGTAATGTGGTCAAGAGCAGCAGGCCTGGGCGGGGGTCACTGTGGCTTGAGAGACCTGAGAAGAAGCAGGCATGCGCTCCCCCTGTCCTGGGAGAAGCTGTGTCCATGACAGAGCCTCCAACTGGGTTATACTCTCCCCCTTGGCTTTCTGAGTCCATGCTGGAAGAGGACACGTGAGCGCCTTTCTAATCTGCCCAGAGGAGCAGGTACCACACAGTGAAAAAAGGTTGGACATCCTGTTACACAGGATGCTTTACTAGGAATAGAAAACAAGAAAATACTGATGAACAAGAAGAAAGAAAAATGGTCACTCATAATCCCCTCCAGAAATAAATATGAGGGGACGCAAAATAAAATAAAAACACCATGTAAAGATAGTGAAGGATTATTGAAGAAGTTAGAATGATCTTTTACTCAGGATTTATGGGAGCTGCCCATGAGGGAGTCAGAGCACCTGCCTGGGGGTTTCACCTCCCAATGTGTTCTGCTCTGTTTAATGTCACCTCTTTGAGGTAGGTGTGGGAAGTCTGTTCTGCAAAGAGAGGGGAGTGGCTCCAAAGCTTGTGTCCATCTGCTTCTGTAAGTGGAGCTTGACCCAGGACAGGCTGGCTACAGTGCTGCACACCCTCAGCCTGGCCCTCTGTGGAGGCCTTGCAGGTAAGGAAGCTCGACTGAGTGAGAAGATTTGAGAGGCCCTGCAATCCACAGTATTGCCCTGGAGTTTCCAGTTGTTCTGTCACCAGGCACTGCACTGTGATGGTGTGGGTTGATAGTTCTAAATGTGCTGTGTTTCAGGACAGCAACTTTTATAAGAACAAATTCAAAACCTTAGGTGTTGCGATACTTGCCGTCTTTCAGACAATTAAAAAAAAAAAAACCAGAAAAAAGGATGAACCAGCTACAATAAATGCCCTGGGCATTTATTATTTTAATAACTTAAGTTGTTACTTTTTATGCACAATGACACAACCACTCTGAAATGTAAAAGATCATGTTAGTGTTAGTGTGAAGACCCAATATGGTATGTGGGTGTGTTTTATTCTGAATAATGTAGAAGGATAGAGAATAAACATAAGAAGAGATATGAGTCTTCATAAAATAATTTCCCTTTTTTCAAAGACTTCTTTGCTGACTTTCTTTTAATGAGTGAAATATCCTCATGTATTCAAAGTAGAATTTTCTTTCCCAGAAAAATCTTTGCTACAGACATTTTCGAACACCCTTCTTTATATAAAGAGGAGCTCTCTTGCATTTTCTTCTAGGGGATGGAATGAAATGAAAGTTGGGCCCATGGGCGTGGCCTTTTTCAGGACTACTTTGAACTTGTCAGAGAGGACTTAAAAGGCAGCTTCTCTGTGTTCTTGACGCTGTGGTTTTATGAATGTGAGGACTTGTCCAATGTGGTGTGGTTGGGGCTTAGTGTACCCCTGCACAAGTCTGTCCCTCTGGGGTCTGTGGCCCACCCACTGGCTGGGTCTGCAAAACAGACCACCATTCATAAAACCACAGGCTGGCAGAGCAGAAAAAAGAAAACTCAGAAATCATCTAGTCCAGTAGCCTTGAGGGTAAGGTTTTGTTTTATTTTCCGGCATCAGACTACTTGTGAAAAATTAAATAGTTGATACGTGTGCTATATTTTAGTTAAAAAACAAAAATTCAGCAAGTAGCTAAAGCAAGTCAACTGGTAAGTGAGTAATATTCACATCCTAGGGGTCAAGACCTGTGGCCTGGACCACCTGGCGTCGGTTTCTCTTCCTAGCTCTGCCACTTCTTGCTGGATGCCTGCTGGCCCCTCCTAAAGGCTGACAGTGATACTTGCCCCTCCCTAGGCTCACAGTGAGTGTTGGCATAGCCACTGCAGAGCAGGCACTCCAAAATGATTGTTAGGACTAAAGCAGGACTGTTGGGGAGATTGCCAGGCAGACCCCCCGGCCCCCAACTCACACACATACCCCCTACCTCCCACCCCCCTCTTCTGACCTTGTGTGGTTTTCTCCCTCTGCCACCACCAAATGACATGGGACTTTGCAGCACCTTCAAGAACCTTGCTCGGTGCAGTGATCTCCATGTCGTGTACTAGCCTTGGTTTATAATGGCCTCACTTTTATCTCTGGGAGGAATCAGGCCACATAAGGATGCATTTATGAAAGCTCTGGGAATTGTGTGGTCCAGCCTTCAGGGCCCTGAGGCCCTCTTGCTTGAGGGATGTGCGGGCACTTATGTCAGGGTATGAGGAGCCTGAGAAAGCAAGCACCCCAATCCTGACGCTGTATCTGGGGCATTCCTGGGTCCTGCTCCCTACATGTTAACACGCCTTGCAGCCTCCGCCAGCACAGGGAAGGTGCTGGTCCTCTCCTGGGCCGCACCCCTGCTCTCTGAGCACTGCTGCTCTGTTCCGTGAGCACTGGTGCGCAGCAGCTTGGGGCAGGACTCCAGGCTATGGGAGCATTTTAGAGAGAGAGCCCGTTATCCCTGCTGGTGACATTTCTGTCCTGAGGACATATTTGGGGAGGAAGGAATCCTCTAGATTACTTTGGATTGCTGCTTGCTGATCGGTCATGCCTGTGTCTCAGACTGACTTCCCCAAGCCCCAGCCCTGTGGGCTACTCCATAGGATGGAAGGATCACTCTGATGCCAACTCTCCTGTCTGAGTTACATTTACTGCAGCCCAGTCGCTGTTCCCAAAGTCAGTCTGTGGGCTATTTCCCCATGTGCCTCTGTGTGCTTGCCCATGAGGCGCTCTGAATGTTATCCTCTGAAATTCCCACCAGTTTTACAATGATGAAACTTGAAGGAATTTTCTTAGTCCTTGATAAAATCTTGATGCTTGGAGTCACAGGGAATGACTCATGATTCCCCACACAGGACAAAACCACTGACTCAAAGTCAAACCCAGCCTTGCTGAAGGATGGCTCAGCAGCTCTTTCCTGGGGCAGGGATGTGTGTGCTTGCATGCAGAGGCCCTGCAGCTCACCATCATGGAAGCTCAGGGGACCTGGTGAACTGGTGTGGTCGTGGCTGACAGAGGCTGAGTGTGAGTCGAGGGTTTGTGCAGAGGAGTTGCTTCCTGAGAAATGTCGGGTTGGCCTGGCAGTCGCTTCCTGTGTTTTCATCCTCCCCTCCCTGGGTCTGGACACTGCCTCTCCTCAGGTCCAGCTGGGTCTGCTCCTCCAGGGTGTGCATGTGGGTGCCTGTGGCAGTGGCATCAGTGCCCGCTGACTGTCTGCTGTGCTGCCTGGGCTCCCACAGGATCCCAAGGATGAACGGCCAGGTAGCTGGAGGAAGTGAGGCTGAATGGGGTGGCATTTTATGTCCTGGTGCTTCCCTGCAAAGATAGAACCACACACACTCTGGGAGAAGCCAGCACGAGAGGAGAGCAGGTCTCAGCTGGAGAAACGTCTTGTTGGTGTATGCCTGAGAGCATACACCGACTGGGTTCTGGGTTCTCCGAGAAGTGTTGCAACTGTCTCAGGGACTGGGTGATGAGAGTTATCCTGTGTTGCCTGAGGTGACGGGTCCAAAAGGGAAAGTCAAAATGTGCAGGCCTGTTACGTGCTGGCCCATAACTTCAGAACCCGTGTCCCGGGACATTGGAAGGGATGGTCACACGGATAAAAGCAATTGATTTGTGGTAACCTTTATGTAGCATGTTGAGCTTCCCTGCCAGGCATATATATGGCTTTGACTGTTGTAAACTTGCTGAGGTTTTTCCAGTCTCTTCCTAGAATAATGTCATTTACCCACTTCTGATTCTTTTGTCATGGAAACAAGTAAATGCAATTGGATACTTTTGAGTTACTTGCTTTTGAGATCAACATCTCTGCCTACAGCCTCCCCTCCCCTTTTATTATATGCTCTGGTTAGTTCAGTAAAGGATGATTTATTCCTTAACTTAAAATAATAGCTCTTATGTGAGCCCCGAGACTCATAGCTCATAGGAAAGTGGTGTGATGTGTTGCTGGAGGAGTTAGTAAAAATAAAGTGCTCCGATTTCCAGAAAGGTAACTGGCAGCATCCTGCTCCCCAACCATTTCACATCGGCATGTGTGTGGAAACTGCCTGTTTGGTAGCTCCTCAAGACCATAGATGAGCCTGCCCCTCTGGGGGACTCCAGCCACTATGAGGCCTAATGTGGACCCTGGACATGCTGAGATTCCTCACCTTCAGCTCACCATGCAGGTGGAGAAATTATGTGTAGAATAAGCACGTTAGCTAAGGCCCTGTGCCCTGGCCAGCCTGTTGTACATCTGAGGCAGTCAGACTAGAAAAGACATGTCTGGACTAACAGTAGCAAGGAGTGACCAGTGCTCATCACTTCTGGGGCTGTGCTGAGGGTTATGCAGGGATTGGCTTACCTTCTGTAGTGCCCTGTAAGGGAAGTGCATTCTGCTCCCCATTGTGCCTTGACACAGAAGGAAGGGCAGGCCTGGAGAGCGAGCCATGCTGCGGGAAGGCACGTGGAGCCCAGGGCCTCTCCCGTGTCCTGCCTGCCTCAGGAGCCAGAGATGCACATCTGTAGTCTCATGGATCAAACAAGTTTGAAACACGTATGTGGTTAGCAGTCCATAATTCTGAGTTTAACTTTTTTTAATCCACAAAGAAGCAGTCTGGGAAGTAAATAGGATCATATAGAGAAGGCTTTTGGGGTTGAAAAAATATGCTCTTCCTCATTACATATTTGAAAATGTGCTTTTCCTGATTACAAAAATAATGGGTGTTTATTGTAATAAAAATAGAATCATTTAAAACACACAAAGAAGAAAAGGAATGTCTTTAATCTACCACACAGAAGTAGCCTTTTTTTTTTTAAAGATTTATTTATTTATGCATACATAAGAGTCAGAAATACAGGGGGTGAGAGGATCCACCAGAGACAGAGTGGGGAACAGAACAGACAGATTGACTGAAATACACGCTGAGGGGAGCAGCAGGCAAGTCAGGAGAGGTCTGCCTCGCCATGTGGGTTTCTCCCTGGCCGGCCAGGGATCAAACTTGTGCTGCAGAGGCTGCGGATTGCTTCATAGTGCGGTGCTTTCTTAATCCCTTGCGCCACCAGGGAGCCCCAAAAGTAGCCATTTTAAACAATGTTGATATATGTCTAGGCCATTATCTAATAGTCCAAATTGGGCGCTAGATTGTTTTTAGTTTTCCACTAAAACAGATTAGTTTTTCAGTGGAACAGATTGTGGGGGGAGGTATAATGCAGTTCTTCAGGAATGCTTCTATGTCCCTCTTTTCCCAAAATAGAGTGTACTTTCCCTCAAATCAATTATTAAACATTCGTTGTCATTTAAATCCCTACTGAGTGATGACTTTACACTAAATGTGATGTAGAAAAGAATAAAGAGTATGCATGGCACGATCCATTTGGAGAAGAATTTATTAACTGGAGAAAACATTTTCTAAACACATTTTCCCGCTACTATTTGAAAGTCTTGCAGTTCTGGCAGTGCAATTAATGTTGGGGCCTTGTAAGACCGTGACCTTTTTCTCCCCCCAACATTTGACTTCTTTGGTGTAACTGTGTGGTCTCCAGATTTGTTTCCATCAAGCACACTGCATAATCAAAACAGAAACACCACTTCATTTTGAAATGAAAAGCAGTTTTTTCCGGAATGTTCATGGGCAGGACGCGGGAAACGCACACATGCAGTCTACTGAGTGAGACACATCTCCCTCCTTTTCTCTCCGCTCCAGGAAGGCGTGGAAGTGCGCGTGGCGCGGATCTTCAACACCTTCGGGCCGCGCATGCACATGAACGATGGGCGGGTGGTCAGCAACTTCATCCTACAGGCGCTGCAGGGGGAGCCGCTCACGGTAAGTGCCGCCCGTATAGAGTCCGCCAGCCAGCGATAGGGACGAGCGTGTGTGCACATGTGTATTCCCACTGCCCTGGAGAAGACGGAGGAATCCAGAGAATGACTTTGGATGCAAACTGTACCCCCTTGTTTCTGGAACCCCCACATAACCTAGTGCAAGAGCTACTGGCTTCGTTCATGCTGCCCAGGCGCCCATGTCTGCCTGCCTTGGCCTAACTGCAAAGCCCTTCCCCATGTTTGCCGGGTCCGCTGGCTGCAGCGGGGTCTCTGTAGTCAGTGCATTGCAGGTCGCCGAGAGGTAGAGTGTGCAAGTCAGGTCTTGGCAGTTGTGTGCTCCTTCATCCGCCAGTTGTTCTCAGCCAAGGGGGCTGGCAGCTCACCCTTCAGGTATCCTCTGTGGGGTCAGGTGGACTGCTTGCCCCATTGCTCCCTTCATCCTCCCTGGGGCCTGCTTGTGAAGGGTGGCTAATGCAGTTTGGTTGTCTTTTCTTAGTTTTGCTGACTCTTCAGTGCTATCCTCCTCACTCTTTCTTTCTGCCCTTCCCGTTCCTATGCCTGCCTGTCTGCCCCTGCTGCTTTCCAGTCGGGCATTCGATGGTCCTTTAAAGCTCCTGTTTGGGGTGTGGCCAAAAGAGGAGTGTCCTCTTACCCTGAAGCTTCTGTAGGATGGTTTATTACTAATTGAGTGTGTTCTGGGGGAGAAGGTTATAGCTGTGTGTACAAATACGTGCAAATATATGAATCTACTCATGCACTTAAATTTCTCTCTGTCTCCACTCCTCTCTTTCTCTTTCTCACCGAGGGAGTTATTTTACTATTTTCTGTTTTGTGATCTTTTTTTTTAAAAAGATTTATTTTTATTTATTTATGCATAGAAGAACTGAGATGTTAGGATAGAAGTGCAGGGGGTTGAGAGGATTCACCAGAGACAGAGTGGGGAGCAGAACAAGCAGATCTACTGAAATACACTGCTGAGGGGAGCAGCGGGTGAGACAGGAGAGGTCTGCTGCGCCATGTGGGTTGCTCCCTGGCCGGGATCAAACGCATACCACATTGACTGATAGTGCTGAGACTTTGAAACCCTGTGCCACCAGGGAGGCCCCTATTTTATGATCTTCACATCTGTTAACTTATTTAATACTCAGAATGAAAGCAGGGAGCAGGTTGTGTTATCACTTGTGGAGGTTAGATAACTGTTTAGCTCTCATGGCCTTCTCTCTCCATCACTGTACTCCGTAGTCCAATTCTTTTGCACGTGTTGTTTCCACTGTACTTTAACTAAAAACAAAGCTTAACCAGCTACAAAAGGGTGTGGCTCCCACAGAGGAAGACACAATTTCATTTTTAAAAGATATCTTATTGATATAGTAGTACTGGTTTATAACACTGCAGGTTTTAGGTATGCAGCATCGTAGACCGACCTGCTTTTTTGCACTACATTTTGGCAACTACGAGAAGTCTAGTTTCCATCCTCCGCCCCTTTCATCTGATTACCCACCCCCTTTTCCACCTTCTGGTAACCACTCTTCTGTTCTTACAGTCTGAGTTGGGTTTTATTTCCTTTTGTTTTTTCATTATTTTTGTTTCTTTGTCTTTTGCATTTGAATGAAATCATGTGTTTGCCTATCTCCACATGACTTATTTCACTTAGCATAACGCTTGGCCCATCCCTGTTGTTGCAGATGGAAGGATTTCATCATTTTTTCCCCCCCGTCAGTGGGCATTTAGGTTGTTTCCAATTCTTGGCTCTTGTGAAAAATGCCATGCTAAACATGGGGATGCATGTCTCTTTGAGTTAGTGTTTTCATATTCTTTGGGTAATATCCAGAATTGGGATAACTGAATAGCATGGCATTTCTTCCTTTCCTTTTTTTTTTCTTTTGAGGAATCGCCATAGTGTCTTCCATAATGACTACACCAGTTACATCCCTACCCACAGTGTACAAGGGGTTCCTTATTCCCACTTCCTTGCTGACACCTGTCATCTCTTGTCCTTTTGATACTACCCACTCTGGCAGGTGTGAAGTGATATCACACTGTGGGTTTGCTTTACATTCCCTAAATAATAAGGGGTGAGTATTTTTTCCTTTCTTCCTATTGTTGAATTTGTGTTGTATGTGTTGGCAGTCTGTATGCCTTCGGAAAAGTGTCTGTTCAGAGTTTCTGCCTACATTTTAACTGGGTTGCTTGATTTTTTGTTGTTGTTGAATTTTGTAAGTTCTTTGTATATTAATCCATTCTCACATTTGTGGTTTGCAAACATCTTCTCCCAGTGACTAGGTTGCCTTTTCCATAGGATGACAGTTTCTTTCACTGTGCAGAAGCTTTTTAGCTCGATGAATCCCATTTGTTTATTTTTGCTTTTATTTCTCTTGTTAAGAGTCAAGTTCCCAAATACCTCTCTGAGGCAGATGCCAAGGAACTTACCACACCTATTTTTCTTCTGTGTATTTTATACATATAATTCAGGTCTTAAGTTCAAGTCTTAATTCCATTTTGAATTAATTTTTACATATGGTATATCAGGTAGTGGCTTAGTTTCATTCTTTTGCATGTGATTGCAAGACACATTTTATAGATCAGTTTTGCTAACACATTACAGAATAGAGGTGACTGCACACTACACTCAAGTTGCCAGACACCCCAAGCCTTCCCTGTCCCCTGCTCCTCTTCACGTGCTAGCTTCGTGCCTCGGTGCCCATGGATGGCTTGCTGTGGCGGACCATACATTCTCTCCACCAGCACATCCTAGTGCCCTTACTCCATGTGGATCCAGACCCTGGCCCTTCTTCTGCTTCCTGCTCCACACCACCATCCTGCTCTGTTTATTGCTGAGGCCTCCTAACTGCCCTCATCCTCCCAGTCAGGCGCTCTCATCCCGGCAGCCAGAGGGGGCCCTTTATGGAGAAGTCAGAAACATGAATGGCTTTTCATGTCCTGAGAGCATAGTCCACAGCCTGTCCTTCCCCGCAGCCCTCCCCTCCTTTGCTGGTGTGAGCACTTTGCTCTTGCCTGTCCTGTGAGTGCTTCTCTTCGGGAGATCTCCCTGATGTGGTCGTCTGTCCGGTGCCTGCTAGATAGAATGGCTCTCACTCCACCTACCCCTCCTATCCATGCTTTTTACTGTTCATTGCCTTTATCCCTAAGTGAAATGTCAGTTTTCTAGCACCCAACCCCCTCCGGAATGTTCACTCTTGGAAGCCAGGAACTCTGTGTCTTTCACAGCTGTGTCCCCAGTTCTTGGCACCCTAGTGGTATGTGATAAATGTGGGTTGACTTAATGACTTATGGAGACCACTTTCCTTTATAATAAGCACAGGTAGCTCAGAGACTTGTTTTGGAAGCCAGCATTTGGGGTGTCCCCATCTCTAGTTATTTGTTCCCTCCTCCTGCCGTTTGGATTCTGAGGTGCTCTTGCTTGAACCCTCTTAGTCCAAGCTGCTCATCTGAGAATCTCCCTCAGGGACACTCCCAAGCTTCCTTCATCACTGTACTCTCTAGCTCTCCTCAAATGAGAGCTCAGAGCTGCTTTGTTTGCAAAGTAAGCTGTTAAAAAGCCTTCTAAGAAACAGCTTCCTGATCTATTGCTTCCTGGGCAGCAGCCATGGCCCAAGTGCTAGGTGAGAGAGTGAGTCCCCAGGCCACCCGAGAATGCCCCTATTGTGGACAGATGGCCATAACTCACGTGCTGTCCTCACACTGTGCAAGCTTCTGTGCCAGCGACAGGCGGAGAAAGAAGGCGGGTGGCACCAGGGCTGCCATGAGGCCAGGCCATGCCAGACTCAGCCACTCTGCGACGCCTCTGCTGACAGGAGACAAGCACCCTCAGGAGACCTTGCAGATGTGCTCTTGCACAGAATTCTCTTTCCCATCAATGACTTGATGAAGTACCTAACTTTTCATCCCTTCTTGCCGCTCTCAGACTGAACACATTCATTGGTAGTTGGAACTGTGGAAATCTTCTTTTTCCTTTTCCATGCTGGGTTAGCTTCCAGATGGTTTTTTTCTGAAGCTGTTTTTTGTCTTATCCTTCAGTAAATTCCTTTCTTGGTCATGTCTTGAGTTACTGTTAGATGCCTGGCAGGATAACAGCATGGCCAAATTCTGTATGTCCTGAGAAGCCATATTCTAAGTTGAATCCCATAGAAGCTCAGAAACTTTGTTCTTGTTTAGGTTTAGAAAAATAATTGCGTATGGTTCAGGTGTGGGATGCTCGCTGATGGTTTATTTTGAAGAGACAGTTCACAATTGAGCTTGAGCTGAGCATACTTGCACGTAACAAGATGAGACAAAACAAGATGAGACACAGTCTCTCTTGCACAGTCAGTTTGGCCGTGATTTAATCCAATTTGTAGGAAGGAATACAACTGCATTGAGATGAACTTTCCCAGAACAGCCCAGATGCAGCAGAATGGGTGTGACTCCAGGTTTATGTCATTTAAAAAACCTTGCTGTTTTTCCAAAGGGAAATTTTGGGGAAAACCATACTTGTCTAAAGTCAGCATTTTATATATCCTTTGTACCAACACAGTGGTATTGTGATTGCTGACTCTGGGCCTTTGTTCTTGGAGGCACGTCCGGCATCTTAGGTACATTGAACAGGGGTGATAGTGTGCTTGCTCCCCCGCCAGGGAGCTGCCAGCCCCTGTTCCCAGCTGCCTGTCCACCCACCCACCTGCCTTTGTGGTCATTCCTGAGTCACCATACTGTTCTGACCTGCACACAACCTATGTCATAGGTTGAAAGGTGCTGAAAGGTCCACTGTGTGTTAGAGGGACACTTGGCATTGTGAGCCTCAGGGTGCTCACCTCAGTGTTTGTCCCCCCGCCTTACTCTGCTGTGCACACGCTGTGTGCAACCCCTTAGAGGAAACCTGAACTCACCCTTGTGGCAATTATTGTAATGAAAAAAAGCACAGAAAAAGGCCTGGGAGGACATGTGAGTCATACTTTTCTTCTTTTACCTGCTCTTTCACTTCTCACATCTGGTGGGATGAGCCCTGGGGAGCCATAGAAGTAGGTGAGGCTGCAGGCAGGCAATGTCTGCAGGGCTGGTGACCACTCTTCTCTGCCCCCAGGTGGCTGGCTGGTAGTGTTATAGGTGGGCTTAGAAATCAGACTGTCTCGGGAGGTGATGCCTCCTCTCTACTGCAAACAAATGAAAACTGGGCTGGCTCTTTGGTTTTCTGTGACTGGTGTCAGAGAGACTCAGAGCTTTGTCTCATCTTGTTTGATCTGCTTTTTCTAATAAAGTGATATAAGCTGGGCGGTCATGAAGTTATTGTTGAACATGTTCTGTGAGCACCTTGCATGGTGCTAGGCCACACTGGGGCCGATGAGTCAACCTGCTCCTGCCCCAGGGAGCTCACAGGCAGGCAAGTTGACCCAAGTGCAGCTTAGGGAATGGCCACAGATGCGGAGGGCAGAGCCATCGTTGTCTCCTTGTGGAGCCAGAGAAGGAACCACATGGAGCTACATCTGAGCTGGCCCCTACGAGATGAGTAGCACTTTGCCAGGTGGGAAGTAGACAGGGATTGTTGGACGGTGAGAGGGACAGTCGGAGGAAGAAACCACCAGCTCGTGTGTGGAGAGGAGTAAACACATGGTGGGCCCAAGGGCAGTGGGAGACCCCTTGCCTCTCCTCTTCTGCCCTGTGTCTTTTCCAATTTCTTGGGTGTTTCTCAATCTTGGCTGCACTTTAGAATCACCTGGGCAAACAGTTGTAAAACTACCAATGTCCACCCTTCCCAGAGGCTCTGTTCTGATGGGCAGCAGAGTGTAGCACCCTGGTTATATGTGCTGCTTGCTATTTGTATGTGGATCTGTCACTGCTGGACTTGGAGAACGCAGCCCCCAGACCAGACGCGGTGCCTGGTACATTGTAAGACTAATAGAAGTTGAATCCTTTGATACTACTTTAAGGACAAACTTTATACACATACTTGTGTGCGCGAGCATGCATGCACGCACACACACACACACATACGCACACAGACTTCCAGGTCTCTGCCACCTTCCCACTGTTCCAGCATGACTGTCAAGTACAGAGTGTGAATTGTAGTGTCATTTTTCCTTCAGCATCAGTTTTGAGGTCAGTCTGTGCCCCTTATATCTTCCTGGCTATGGTGTGTTTTCTTGGGAGGCCTAACTGTTGTTTTCCGCCTAGGTGTACGGGTCCGGTTCTCAGACGAGGGCGTTCCAGTACGTCAGGTAAGACAGCGCAGCCCCCTGGGCCTGATCCCAGCAGGCAGGTGCAGACCAGGCCCTCGGTGCCTCTGTGATTCTTTAATGAGTTTCACAGCTCTAACTGCCTGACTTGGTTAAAAGTTAACTTTAAGATGGGAAAGAGCTTATGGGTTCTCTGTTTAAAGTTAAGATTTTCCTCATGCATGTTGGTGACTTGCAGGACTCAGGACTTGTGTGCTGATCTTTTGCTGCCACCTAGTGTTTCCGAGCTAAACTTGCCAAGCCGTGAGGGCAACTGGATTTCAGTTTAGGCCAATTTAAGAGATAATTTTAATCCTCCAGCAAACCTACAGATTCTAAAATCTGACCCATTTTAAACATAGTTTTCTGGGGTGGATGATACAGAACCCTAATGTCATTAAGGGAAAGATACAGAATCCTAATGTCTTTTTGTGCTGAAACTGAAGATTAAAAATACATTTAAGAATGTTGGTGAATAGTCTCACATGGCAATTTTTATGTTTTGGTAATCCTTATCTGTCTAGGTTCTTGTTGGTCAGTTCAGTTGGTGACTAATTTTAAAATGCACACATATTGAGGTGTGAAGCTGAACTCTTGAAATTATATACTATTGTTAACCAGTGGTAAAGTAATAAAATTTGATTTTAAAAATGCAGTTTAGATTCTGAAAAAAGAGTTACCACGTAACAGTTGTGTATACCAAACTGTTTTCCCACAAGACATGGTTATTGTGATTCAATGTAAGTTTCTGGTATAGTCAGTCTTTGTAAAATAGTTTCATATTTTGGTACCATATGTTTTTAGTGCAAATACTCTGAGATGCCTGTCAGGTGGGAAATGCTGTTCCTGGTGTCCCAGGCTGTCCTAAGGAGGATGTCGGGGTGAAGTGGTAACACAGTGCAGGTCTGCACGCCCATCCAGACCCACTCGGCCAGAACAACCACCTAGACTTTGTGTGATTGTATGAGGGTCTTGGGTAGAAATCCCTGTGAGAAATGTAAGAAAGTTAAGAATTGTAGATTTTCCCTGAAAGTGTTTGTGATGAAAGGAAGCTATGAATGAACATGTGTGACAGTCAGCACTTTCCTTCCCCCACCCAGTGGTATTGCCAAGTAGGGCAGAAAGCTTGGGGGAAGAATGTCACTGGCCTTGGACATTGTTGCCCAAATATTCTAGAAGGGACTTCACCAGGTATCCCTCTGTCAGGATTATTTTCATTTCAAAGCACTCAGCCCTGCACTCAGAGCAAACTGGGATGGTGTGTTGCCTTGTCAGGCCCAGGAGACAACTTCTGTGTGCAGAGCACCACCCTTCCCAGTGCCATGCTTTCATCCTGCCCTCCACCCCCACCCCTATCTTTGCACTCTTGAGGAGGGAATCTTGCAGTGTTCTGTTACTTTGAATTCCTTCTGCCTCTTTCATGGCCTCCCACACTTCTCCAGCTGCAACACCAAATGAAGGGTTAGTGAGACTGTAGTAAAAGGGAAATTGGTTCAAACACATCTTTTTACTGTTCTCGTTATTTCAAAGGCATCAGATAGAAACATCACTTACAATAACCTTAGCTGCATCAGACACATTTCTGGCTCAGAGATGCACACGTCTCACACCATCCCAGCTCAAGGACACAAGGCTCCTGCCCCGCCAGCCTGTGCATGAGCGTCTTTGTAACACCAGCACCACCCAAAACAAGGACTTGGGTGGCTTCAATAGAGATATTGTTATTGGTGTTCTTCCTTCATAATACTGCATCATCGTGTGCTCCCTACTCTATTATATTCTCTTGAATCTCGTGTCATAGGGTCTGAGATCAAAAGGCTCATCCAACTTCTACTGTAGATACTCAGGACTCAGCTGAGATGTTAGATTGCCAGGTTTTGTTCTTAGTAAGCTGGGTTTTGGTTTTTTGTTTTTTGTTTTTTTTTTTTACAAACAGTATTTTTAACTTCTCAGTTAAAAATGTATGTGGTCTGAATCTGTGGTTACTGTATTGAATTAACTGTTTCCAAACCCTCTGATTGCCCCAAGGCAGCGTTTCAGGGTTTTTCTCTCTAGGTGGTCATACGCATTGACATCCCCAGCATGACTGTGTCTGATAGTCTCATGGTCAGATTATGTCCTCATCTGCATAACAAAGGCATGCTATGTTTTTTTTAAAAGTCACTTTGTCAAAATGACACTTGTAAAGAGCTTCAGGTTAAATGAGTGTGATCTATGCAATTTTGACCTTAAAAGTTGCCAGTTTATTAACAAAAGATAAATGGCCCATAGCTGAGCCACTCCCCCTCCACAGTGAGGACAATTACATAATAGTTGTCCTCCAGATAATATGGACTCCCCCCCTTTTGTTTTAGTATTTAAAACGATTGTGGATGCTACAGAATGGCAGCTTTTAATGTCTTTTTGTGACTATGCAAAGGCATGTGCTGTAAGAGAACATGTTGTGATACTATCTGCCATAGTGATGAAGTGACTTTTTTGCCAATTTCTAGAAAAGAGAAACCATCCAGAGTCAGCAGTAATTTGCATTTGTGATTGATCTGTGAGAATAGAATGGATTTTAGATTTGCTCGTATAAAATGCCCATTTGCTATATAAACAAAAGCCCAGGAAATCGTTTGTTTACTAAGAGCCCCACTGAAAAAAAATATTTTCAATGACAAGGAGAGCAAAAACTGAGGTTTTCTTTTCGCAAGTTTATCATAGTAACCTGCTCCTTGCTGGTAATGATGGATGAAGAGGAGGAGGGAGAGGTTTCAGAATAGATTCATTTGGATGGCCAGAACAGAACTTTAAAAGTCTTCTAAGAAGTATAGTTGACTTAGACAAAGTACTTGTATATAGCAGTGAGGTGTCATTTTTACGAAGTAACTTTTTTTTAACAGAGCCACTCTTTAAAGCTTCTGAAAATAAGAACCAATCCTTGGTAAGCGAAAATTTGCTTACTTATCTTCACCTTCATGGCCCCGTCGATCACAATCCATTTGAAACATTCAGATATCTTGACCGTTCATATGAAGTGTTTTTGGGGGAGCGGGGATGGACAATTGAAGATGGAGGGAGTTGGGTACTGTGTTCCAGTATATTTCAACACTCAGTATTGTTTGACTTTATCTGTGATTTGCCAGTATGAGAATTGCATACTGGAGTTCTATCATTTCAGTGGATCTTATTTTTTTTTTTAAAAATCATTTGCTTCCGTATGGACCAACTACCTGGGTTCACACTAAACATGGACTTTCATCAGAAACTTATAAATTCCATCTTTTTTGGATGTGTGTCTAATTTGTTACTATTTTTCAATTGTTAAAGGATTTCAGAAATATACAAACGTAGAGAACTCGACCCCATCACACAGCATCCATTCTGTTGAGCCATCTTTACCCCACCCACTGAGAGCAAATCCCAGATGTCACACCATTTCATCCATGAGCACTTCAGCATTCGCCAACTCTCTTATTTACAGGATTTTATTTTGACATACAGTTTTCCATTTGGGTTTTGGTTTTCTCCTGGGAGGTGGCTTGGGTCTGATACTCAGTACATGGTGCTTCAGTGGCGGCCCCTGACCCGGCCTTCCCTTCTTTTCTAGTGACCTCGTGAATGGCCTGGTGGCACTCATGAACAGCAATGTCAGCAGCCCAGTCAACCTGGTAAGTATGTCCTCTTCACTGTCCAGAACGGGCAGTCTCATTCATGAACCCATGAAACGCACCAGGCTTTGATTTGTTTGATCAGCACACGTAGACAGGGCTTGCATGCTAGTTGCTTGCTGAATAATAGAGAAAAACACAGCAGTATGCGGACACAAAGAAGTTAAGTATCTGCAAGACATAGGTGAGCAGGGTAATAAACACTAAAGTGTCTCCCACCACCCAACTGGCCCAAGTCTGAAAATTTGTAAAGCCTTTTGCTGTTAGTAGATGGATGTTGTTTGGTGTCTACACCTTCCTCTATCATGTATCATTCCTGTCCTTAGCACTTTCTCTATCACGTCATCTTTATAACACTTGACTGAGTCTGAGGAGATGGAAGTAGTTACTGGTCATGTCTGTAATTCGGCTGCATTGATCACCTTTGTTGCTTTTTCCTTCATTGTTTCCTGCAGTCCCAGAATCTCTCTGTGGGAGGGATTAAAAGGTGGTTTTGCTCAGACCTTAATCATACTTTCTTCTCAAGACATTTCATTCTAACTGGCCAATTCTGGCTGCAGAAAGTTTTTCTTTCCATTTAGGACAAAAATCTCATTCTCTGTACGCCCACCCACTGGCTGTTCTCCACCTGGGGGGCATTCCAAATTCATCTGAGTCTGCTGTGATAGCTTTCTCCTCTCTAGCTCCTTCAGCCTTGAAGTTGTGCTGGTGTCTCTTACCCCTTTGGTCACTGTATTCTGAATACTATTATTCTACCTCATTTAAACTGTGAGGTATCCTGTATAGAATGTCCAGCATTTTGGATACTCTGCTTCTGTCCATGGCCACAGACTCCAGAGCCCCGTCTCTCACTAGGGAGCCACCTTAACCCAACCTGGCCTTAACAGAGCCACACGTGCATTGTTTCTTAGAAGCCATCTCACTCAGGAACTTTTCCCTGTAATTCTCTTTGTAACCAGCAATCAGAAGCATGTCCCCTAGGACTCATTTTTCACAGATTTGGGGGGAATTCCTACCAAACGGGAAAAAGTGGACCCTGGAGAGGTCACTTCCCTTGGGGATGTGCTGATTGATTCATGGTATCCCTGACGGCCAGCCCCCAGTTAGCACTTCTTTCATGCACTTGTGAAAGAAAGGCAATTAAAAACTGAATAAAGTATATCTTATGAACCTCCATATGTTTTTGAGTATTCGCCTCCCTGATACTTTGAAAACACCATGCCACCCTTCCCCTTGGGGTTTTGTTACATGCTTTTCAAAATAAGTGTGTTGGCAGTAGCCTCCCTGCTCTTTTCTTTAGATCCCACACTTCTGTTTGGCTTTTTTGGGGCAGTGGGGAGAGCTGTGTTAGGACATTTGGACATTTAGAAATTTTCATCTCGTATTGAAACCAGTCTTCCCTAAAGTCTAAAAAGTGTGCATTTAGTCCTAATAAAAATGGAGCTACTTTCTCCCAAATTTCTATCATTTCACTTTGCTTGTAAGTCCTTGTGTTGTGCGAATTAGGCCCAGTATTCCTTTCTCCCTCTTTCACCTTCAGATAAAACTAGGAGATTGTGGATGAAGGTTTGTGGAATATGCAATTTAGGATATATAATTGCCAAAGTTTATGGGGGTCTCTCATGATAGGGGACAGGGTGGCAAATTAGAGTAGTAGGATTGGGAAGGGAATCAATGGCTGGTGTGATGTGGAAAGAAGAAAGACAAAAGTGGTTTTCCTGTAAGGTTTCCCCCCTTACAGCTAGCTTACTTTATAAACAACACTGGGAGGGGATTTCATTTGTTAGGGCTCTCATGTGTAAGCTTGCAAGTCCTTTATTATGTAAGTTGTTAATGCAGTGCACCCAGAGGGAAATCTATTGTCTTAGGTAATTTTACAGAGCCAAATTCTTATGCAAGTGACACTGTAATTACATTAGATATGGCAATTGTCCTGGTATGTGTGCCATCAAGTGTGTCTCTATTAGATGCTTTTGACCTGTCTGAAGGATGTTTTTGTCAACAGACAGTATGGAAGACAAAGGTAAAGGTAGTCACAGGTTTCCCCCACTATCCAAACATACAATCATGTGTGACTTACTAATGAGGATATGTTCTGAGAAACTATCACTAGGACATTTCTTTCTGCTAGCATCATAGAGTGTAATTCCACAAATATAGATGATGTAGCTCATTGCACACCTATGCTGTATGGTCTGGCCTATGGGTACCACTGTCTTATATGAGGGTTACAGTTGACAGAAACATGAGGGGGTGCATGATCTAGAATATTATTACTGTTTGGTATGATTTTGTAGACTATTATTTGGTGTCTGGAAATACTGTTAATTTATATGGAATAATATTTGAGCTTTCCAAAATCCCAAAAATTACCTACCAAATCTTACCAAATAGGAATGCTGTACATCGTTACACTTTGGTGAGTAATCATGGTCTTGGTAAGTGCCCTGCAAGACAGAAGAGCAGGAGTCTGTGGACTTTCTGGCAACACAGTACGGCCCACAAGCCTTTCAAGACCTGCAGGTGGTTTGGGTAATGGTGGTGGCTGCTGTTGAAATTACATTCATAACCAAAATCCATTTCTTTCGTAGGGGAACCCTGAAGAGCACACAATCCTAGAATTTGCACAGTTAATTAAAAACCTTGTTGGTAAGTAGGACAAATGCCTTTAGGACAAATGCCTTCCCCAGTGAAACCCATTGTCCTTACCCTATCAGTTAATAACACCTTGACTAGAAAATGTGTAATTAATATAAGCTAATTGAGTTGGATAAAATGCAGAACTTTACCAGGAACACTTGTTTTCTGATTCCTTAATTAAATAATGGAAAGATAGATAAAGACAAAAAGGGGTGGGAAGGAGGTTGGTTTTGCTCACAACTGTAATTGCAGGTTTGTGTGGAGTGGGGAGAATAGACAAGTCCCCATGCTTCAGATGTGATTGTGTTGCTCATTCTGCCAGGTGACAGCTGTTTGGTTTCCTGCATGGACAGTGCCAAGCAAGGAATTTCAGAAATAAGGGAAAATATAACCAATGAATTTTAAGTTCATTTCTGGTTCTGACCAAAGTGGGTGTGAAATGAGGGAAGCAGTGTAGACACACAGGGTGGTCCCAATGAAGGGAACATAGGAGGTTTGTGTATTTTCTTTTCTTTTTTTTTTTTTTTAAGATTTATTTATTTATGCATACAAGAACTGGAATACAGGCTAGAGGTGTGGGGGGTGGGGGGGTGAAAGGATTCACCAGAGACAGAGTAGGGAACTGAACAGGCAGACTGACTGAAATACACTGCTGAGGGGAGCAGCAGGCCGGTCAGGAGAGGTCTGCTGCGCCATGTGGGTCACCTCCCTGGCCGGGGATCGAACTCATGCTGCAGTGGCTGTGGACAGCTTCATAGGTTGCTTCTTAACCCCTTGCTCCACCAGGGAGGCCCCGGTTTATGTATTTTCAACCTCAGGTTGTGGACATACACTGGGTGAGCCCTTTTGTTGCCCAAAAACTCAGGGCAGGGTCTGTCACCTGTTACTTGCAGGTGCATAAGTGGCTTTAGCCAGGAACTGGTTTGTTGTTTGTCCGCTGTATTCAACCTCTTAAATTTAAGTTAAAGGTCATCTGATTTCACTGAAGGCCTCTTGCAAGGCCTGAGCACCCCCAGTGTCACTTACTGGGAGCAATAGTGTTGCCAGATTGGCTTTTTTATTTACTTTGGAGTCCTGCTGGGTGGTGTGTCTGCTCTGCACTGGTAGTAGCTAGGTGGGCTGCCTGGAGCCAGCAGGGTGGGACAAGGCCTGGTGTTTCATTAGGTAGCTGAGGCCTTGGAGGCCAAGTACCCCTCCCCTCACCACCTCTCTTAGGGCCAGATGTACAGGCCCTTATAAGGCGGGTGATAGTCGGGTTCGGTGTGCCCCCTTATTCATGGCACACATAGGTTTCACTCTGATGTATGTGGAAACATCACACCCCTTGTGATTGTGACGCCCTCTTCTGTTTTTTTCCTGAATAACTCAGGTAGTGGAAGTGAAATTCAGTTTCTGTCCGAAGCCCAGGATGACCCACAGAAACGAAAACCAGATATCAAAAAAGCGAAACTGATGCTGGGGTGGGAACCTGTGGTAAGTGTTGGGGTCACGCTGCCTGGAGCAGGGTCTCCAGTCTGGAATCTGTCTAGCAGGTGCTGGTAGCCATTGAGGGGCTCCCTGTGGAGTGTGGGGACTCGGGCATCTAGGTTCACAGGGTTTTCTCTAGGCCATTCCACAGCTTTTTAATCCTGTTTCTCTTATTCTCTGTTTTGAAATGATGAATCTGATTTTGTAAAATTACCCGTGCACATGACTTCATCTGTGAAAGAAGATTCAAGGTCCATGGCCCATGCCTCCAAGCCTTGCATAGCCCTGGCCACCCTGTATGTCTCAGGGCCCAGGCTGGCTTTGTATGTGAAGTGGGCAAGGTTGCTGTGTGCAGTGGGACAGACAGCACTTGCCAGCTCCCATGCACGTGGCCATCAAGTTTACATTGAGAGACTAAAGGCAAGGAGAAAGCGGTGCTTCCAAGCCTTCCTTTTGCTCTTAGATGAACTCAGACTCTTGGGATGTGTGAGAGGCTGTACTGTTCTTCTCCCTCATCCTAGAATGCCCATTCTCTGGGCATGTGTCCCCCAGGTTGGCACTTCCCCAGAGTCACATACCCTCCAGGGCCTCCTGGCCATGGGCTCAGTGCAGAGCCAACTCCTGAGTCCACAGTGGCCACCGCTCCGGGCCCGAGCTCACCTGTTTCCCTGATGTCTCTGCTGTTCCCTCTTTGCTCTCCCCGAGAGGGCCCTGCTAGGATGTGTGCCCCCTGAGGGCTGTGTACAGCTGTAGCCCCAGCAGGTTGGCACACAGTAGGTATTAATAAATGCTGGACTATCCTCAGTGTCCCCTGTGGTTGCTGCCATCACCATTGTCAGGTTATAGACTCAGGGGTCTATAACACCAGCTGTTTACTTTAAAAATGTGTACATGGTTTCTAACTTAGGGAGGGAAGGAAAAATAATTTTCCCTTTCCCTGCCTCTGAGTTTTAGCTGAGACCCTTGTAATAAAAGATGGATTAGCAAGAGGGGAACAAACAGACGGTCAATTGACATGTATAGCTCTTGTGTTCATGAAAGGGCAGAGGCGACTGTAGGAGACTCTCTTAGAGGAGAATAAATGCTTTTTAGGAACGATGACCGGCCCTTACAAGAATAAATGGGAAAGTTTGTGACCAAGTTTGTTAGTTTCCGCTGTCTCCTGTGTCAAGAGTCTCTCTCTCTTTGTTGATGAAACTCCTGGGGAGGTGGTTTCTGACAGTTGAGCTCTTTTTGGAGGTTCTGATTCTAGGCAGATAGGGGAGAAATGTTTTCTTATATCTGCTATTTTGAGGGGTAACATGTCCTAGACTACAATAATATATTGGGGTGTATATTTTGCTTCAGAGCTAAATAATGAGAAGCCCAGACAATCAGAGCTTTAGGGGTGAGACTTGAGTAAAGTGTGGTCTTTATTTACTTGCGATCTGCAGGTCAAGTCATCTGCTGATGATCATAGAAACTGATTAAATAAAGATAATATCATACCCAAACTTAACCTACTGCATAGTAATCCCAACTGTATAAAGCAAGTTACAGCAAACAGATTTGTTTTTATAAGGAATGTGTCTTTAGTCCGTGGTAAGCCTACCTGTGCTTTAAGCTCACTATGTTGAAAACGTTTAATGACGTTTCCCATGCTAACTATTCTGCACGAGGTGAGGTGTGTGCTTGTGGTGAGTGTGTGTGTGACATCTGCCGCTGTCCTGGGAGACACAGTCCCCAGAGGACAGGCATTCCAGGGTGAACATTCCAGAGGAAGATCGTCTCTTCCTACTAGTAGTTTCATAGGAAATTTTGGAGGAATGATACAAAGGAGCTTTTAGTCCTTCCTGCCCATCTTAATTTCCCCATATATGTGTGCTTTTAACAGCTGTTTGGAAGCACAGCTGGCAGTCAGCTCATATTTTTAAGAGGTATGATTTGGTAAGCTTTGATGTACTTTTATACCTGTGAAACCATCCCTACCACCAGGATTATCGACCTGCCCTCCTCCCAAATGTTCAGGATGCCCCCTGGCAATACCTCCCCCTGAATTTCTCCTTTTGTTCTTTTAATGGGCAGCTGATTTGGTTTTTGCTTCCTGTTTGCTGCAGGGCAGTTTGCTTTTTGTGGGTTATCTTGTGTCTCTCACACTCAGCCACTTATTCAGTGGGGGTGAAAGTGCAAAGTGCACAAGTCCTGTGGAAGAATGAGGCAGTCATACAGATGGCCTTCCCAAACCTCTGCCCTCCGTGGTCCAGACTTTTTATGAAAGAGAGGAGCACTGTGCGTGTGCATTTTAAAAGTGTCCTTTGTGATTGGAGTAGATACCAACCAGCAAGAGGCAGTTCAGGAAGGAGGGGTGGAATTTGTTTTATGTCCATTAGGTGAGTAATCTGTCAAATTACACTGCACATTCTGTAAGCAGCTTTAGAAATAACTCTGAGAAATAACCAGGCTCTGAGAGGCATTCGAGAGCCTCTGCAGAGCTACGTCCCTGTCACTCAGTCTCATTTTCTTTTTAAACAGGTGCCTCTAGAAGAAGGTTTAAACAAAGCAATTCACTACTTCCGTAAAGAACTTGAGTACCAGGCAAATAATCAATACATCCCCAAACCAAAGCCTGCAAGAATAAAAAAAGGCCGGACACGCCATAACTGAAAACCTCACTTCTGGGACTGGAGACGCCCTGTTTCACACTTGATGGGATGTATTTTTATTTTCATTTCCTTTAAATTTTTTTTTAAAGAAAGACTTTAAAAGGTGTCATGAAGAACAAACTGGAATTTCATTCTGAAGCTTGCTTTAAAGAAATGGATGTGCCTAAAAACTCCCCTCAAAAAACTGCAAATTTTGCCTTGCACTTTTTAAATCTGTCTTTTTATGTAAAATAGTGTAGATGCATCTCTGCATATTTTCAAGTTTTTTATCTTGCTGTGAGAGCTTATGTCGTGACTGTCGTTGACAGTTTTATTTACTGGTTTCTTTGTGAAGCTGAAAAGGAACATTAAATGGGGTGAAAAATGCCGATTTTATTTATTAAAGTGGGTACTTGCAAATGAGACATTATACTATGCATAAAGGAAAAAAAAATCAACAACAACAAACCAAGCAGTATTGTCAGGTGGGTGAGGCACCGGTATTTATTCTTTAGGCAGATAAATGAATTTAGTTTGAGAGCTTTATGATTCTTTCAATTCAGAATTTTTCCGAGGTCTAGTTTTTAGTTGTAAACTTGACTTTGAAATATTTCTGTTAGTTATCACGATCAAGGATATTTGAACTCACTACTGTGTCGTGCTGCCTAAGGGGTTGGGGGGTGGGCAGAGTTAACATATTCATGGTTAACAGTGGTTAAATATGCTATTTTAATAAAATATTGAAATTCACTTTCAGTTTTAAAAGGTTGACTCTGCATGGTACATTGTTGGATTGCTAAGAAAAATATTGGAGAATTTAAAAGAAAATTAGGAAAACACGTGGGTTGGTACACAATGTCATTTGCGTGACTATGAATGCATTTACCTGCTGCTTGGACTGGATCTGCGCATATAACATTAGCTGCTGTGTGGAGAGTCTCCCCTGCATTTTGGGATTGACTCTTGATCTGGGTGTTACAACCTTCGCTTCCAGGGATAAAATGGTTGCACCTCCTCTGCAGTGACAGTGAAGGCAGACTCAAGCAAGGTGAAATTACAGAGTTGGAATGTACTGGACGTAACTGCACCCCCCTGGATACTCAATCCAGCTCACTGATCCAGGTAGACTCTCAAATGGGGCCACTCCGGGTGCCCTGGTGGACCTTTGCATCACTGCCTGACACTAGGTGGGCTGCTGCTGTGGTTGTTAGCTCTTAATTCTGTATGAACTTGACTTCGTTCTCAACCTGTATGTCCTGTTGAGTGAATATTGATTGATCTGGCCATGGCCATGAGTTCTGGTTTGGTCTCATGAGAGAAATAGGGAATCTGGGAAGTTGTCAGTGATTTCCTAAGTTTTCATTTGCATCTTAAGTGATTTGTGTGTGCCCACCCCCACCTGGGATATTTTTTCGGTTCCACTGTTTTTTCTTCTCCCCCTGTGATTCCAAACAACATGGTGGTTAGAGGTCTTTTGGGTTTTTTTGTTGTATTTTTTTTTTTAATAGTTTCATGTATCACTGAAGTCCTTGGTGTTATGAGTTGACCTTTTATTGAAACCTGCCATTCTGACTGTTCTAGGAAACTCTGGTCTGATTTAAACCTTTGCTTATAGCAGGCCTCCTCTGACACCGCTGCCATGTGCCTGCCATGGCATGGAAGTGCCTGCCATGTATCTGTGCACACTCTATTTTATCAACAAGACATTTATAAAAGGTTGGTCAAAAGGTTCAGAGGAATTGGGTGCTGAATCTCTTTATAAAGGCTCAGCAGGGATGGAGAAGTGGGGCATACCACTTCTCCATTATGTATACCCTGGTCTCACGTTTTAAGAAACTTTAATCTTCAAATACAGAAATTTCTATAACAATCTTGAGAAATGTTCACATAACCTCCTGGGAGCATTTAACTCAATGAAGCAGCCCATTCCATTGGAATTTTGAGCTAAATTCGGCTTCACTGAGCAAGCAGCCACTCATGGGTTCTGGTTGTGCCCTGGAGGGTCTCCACGAGCAAGACAAAGACTTCTTTCTCTTGACAGCCCTGCCTATTTAGGAGCAATCAGGTCAATGCAGGCATGACAACTCTAGCCTGGGTTCCCTGGATGATCTGGCCACCCTCCCCTAATTGTCTATTTAGTCTTATCTTCAAAAAGATGGGGGCCATCTCCCACTTCTAATACTTATCTTGTGGTCAGTATCTTTTCACAGTGGGAGTTTTTTGTCTTTTATTGAAGAATACACTTTATATGAAAATGGCTGATTTGTATAACTCTGGAGGATTATTCTGATCCATAAAGGAAAGGTGTTTTTTTTCTTTTTATTTAAAAAGGACATGCAGAGTGAGGCAGTATAATTTGGAAAGCACTTGGCCAAGGACCTTCAACCAAGCTTGAACAAGCTTCCCACTTGGCCTGAAATTCCCACCGCTGGCCACGATGAATGCCTGCTCAGAAGGCAGTCAGCAGCCAGGGTCATGGTCGAGTAGAGAGAACATGAGTTTGCTATTTCCATGATGAAAAAGCTCAGAAAAATATCTTGGCACATGAGGTCTGCTTTGGAGGGAGGTGAACCTTGCATGGGGGGGAATTTGGGGAACATGGATGAGCTGATATAGGTGGTGCTTGTCCTGGGGAGAAATAATGTGTGGGAACGAACCCCCCCCCCATCTGATTTATAATTCTGGTTCTGTTCTTAATTCACTGTGTATCCCAGGAGGTGTCTGTCATTCAACCCCATTTTCCTCTGATGTCAAAGTGAAACGTAATCCATTTTTCCCTTCCTGAGTATGGTCAGGCCCCATTCAGTACATATTAACAAGCACTAACTGGAAGTTACTAAAGACATACCTAAGGCGTGCAGAAAGGTGAAAGGCCAAACTACAGAGGAGGTAGACCAGGAAAATCGTAACCAAAAGGAGGGAGGTATAGTCATAGTAATATTGAAGGTTTATTCAGGCAGGAGATCTTATTAAAAATATGGAAATTAATTGCTTAATAAATAGTTCCATTCAATAGGAAGATAGGTTGATTCTAAATTTGTATATACCACGTGGATTTTCATATAGCCACCTATAAAGCAGATTGGCAGAATTAAAGGAAAAACTTGTCAAATTCATAATCATAGATTTTAATACACTTAACCAGTAATCAGTATATCAAACAGACCACCTAAAAAAATCAGTATGCAAATAGAAAGTGTGAACAGTGTAATGATTGAACTTGAGCTGGTGGACTTGGCCGCATCTGAGGGTTGTGAAAGAGGTGGAGCACCTGCCAGGTGACACCTGCTTGGACATAAAGGTGGCCTTAGTGTACTGCAAGGGATTAGTGTACTGCAAGGGATTAGGACCTGAATGCACTATTTTTTTTTTTTTAAACCACAAAGCAATTGAGTTTTTTTTTTTTTTTTTTTTAAAAAGCAAGGCCAGTGAGATAATTAGAAAAATCCATGTCCTTGAAAATTTAATAACACTCATAGGTCAACTCATGGGTCAAAGGAGAAATTGCAATTGAAATTAGAACCCTTAATTATCTAACTTTTCACATCAAACTAATGGGGTACAATACCTGGCAGGAAAAGGAGTATTAAGGGCTCTCCTTAAAAGAAAGTAAGGCACAAAAATAGAGCGAGGCTCTAATAATATAAATGAAAGACCCACAGACATAGATGGAAGGAAACACTAGAAGAAGCATGTTTGAGGAGACAAGATTTATTTTTTTAAAAGGCACAAATGAATAGGAAAGAAAATATCCCCAACTCATTTTATGACACCAGCATAACCTTCAAACCCAATGTGATAAGAACAGGGCCAAAAAGAACACTATGCACCAGTCTTCCTCATGGATGTGGAGGTAAAAATGCTGAGCAGATATTACCCAGCCAGATGCAACAATAAATTTAAAAAATCATGATCAAGTTAGATTTATTCCAGGAATTCAATGGATTCATATTGGAATTTTATTAATAGAATTCATTGTAATAAACTGAGAAGGAAAAGTTACGTTAGCTCAATAGGTAAAATACAATTCAACATTCATACAACATTAAAAAATTTCTTAGCATTTTTTTTAAAAATAGAAATTTCCTTAACTTGATGAATCTACAAAAAAAATCCAACAAATACAGAAACATGACTGGCACTCCCTTTAAGAGCGAAGCAAAGATGTCTTTTTCCATCACCCCTCTGTCCCTCCTCTTTGACATTACACTGGGGGTTGAGCCAGCCCAGAGTTAACAAGAAGAAGAAACAAAAATTTTAAGAGTGGGTATGTAAAACTAGTTTCTATGGAAAACATGTATGGTGATTGCTCAAAAATTAAACAATTCCTATCTAACCCAGCAATTCTACTTGTGGGTATATACCGAAAAGAACTGAAACCAGGGACTTGAAGATAGTTACATGCCCATGCTCATAGCATTATAGCTATTTTTTAGCACAATAGTTAAAAAGTCTGAAGCAACCCCAATGCCCATTGACAGATGAATGGATAAATAAAATGTGGCGTGAACATGCAATAGACTGTTTTTCAGCCTTAAAAAGAAAGGAAAATCTGGCACATGCCACAGTATACATGAACCTTGAAGATATTTTTGCAAGAGAAATAGACATGAAAGACTGAATAGTGTATGAGCTCACTTATCTGAGGTACCTAGAGTAGTCAGTTATAAAAAGATGGAGAGCAGAATGCTTGATGCCAGGACAGGGAGGAGGGATGGGTAGTTGTCTCCCCGCCCCCTCAACAGTTAACAGTTTGGGGAGATGAAAAAAGTGCTGTAGGTGGATGGTGGTAACAGTTGTACATCCATGTGAAGGTACTTAATGCCACTGAACTGTACACATAAAAATGGTTAAAATAGTAAACTTTTTGTTCTGTGTATTTCACCACAAATTTTAAAAAAGATGTTAGGATTCCAAAGGAAGAAGCAAAATTATTTATATGCAGATGCTACGATTATCCATAAATACTGCTCCTGTAGCCAGTACTTCCTACTGAGTTCAACTTGTTAGTTTTTTATTTTTATTACCTGTAGTGTATTGATGGGGATGGGTTTCAGAGACTATGTGCAAAATGATCAAGTTTTTGAGAAAGGAAACGAGCTTCCATTAGACTGTTGGAGGGTCTGTGACCCAGGGTCTAGGAGCAGTGTGAGTGGCCCCTCCCCACCCCTGCTGGTATGAATGGGCACCCTTCACCCACCCCCTTCTGCCCTTCATTTCCCCTCCCTCTTTCCACCTAACACCACTTTTCTCTCTTTCATTCACTCAGGTGTTTAGATATGATTCAGAGTCTATTCTGTGGTCCTTCTCGAATCACTGAAAAAGTTTTAATTTTTTAGATAAGTGAGCCTCTGAAATCAACCAAACTTTAGATTTTTTTCTGTTATCTTTTGTTTCCTGGATAATAACACTAAATAGGTCCAGCTACAATTCAGGGCCTAGAACCCCAGAAGCTCTCAAACACCTGTAGAATAATTGGAATCCTACAAACCATGTTCTGTAATCTTAATTTTCAAATAAATTTTCTTGCTGGTTTTATATCTTGCATGATAGCATGGACTGAATATTCAAACAGACGACCCAGGGCCTGCTTGGTGTGGTGGTGCGGATTCACCAGGTAACTGTTGGGATATTAATAGAGACTTGTCTCTCAGATGATACATGAGCTTCAGAATCACTCAGGGGATAAAAACTGTCGTCAACTTAATTTTCATCCAAATGAATTCCGAGAAGTTTCTTTTAAACAAAATGCTTTATTGCTATTTTTAGGTGAAATGCATTGTTAGGTACTTGCATGAAATATCAAAGACATTTATATTCTTTGTTTTGATGCTTCCTTCCTGGTCACAGAAAGTGGGTAGAAAAGATGAGCTGAAACAAGGCATGAAAGGGATTGAAGAGTGCGTGACATTTTGAAGAGGATCTCTGCGGGGTCCTTGAGCCAGGCTTGGCGAGCTGTGGTTAGTAGTCGTCATAGTTGACGCTGGCTCCATGCCTGAAGCTGTGGGGACTCCGCGGACCGTTGGCGGACTCTTCATCATAGTGATGTTGGTAGTAATCGTAGTAGTCATGTCCATTCCGACCTCTGTTTAGCCAGTAGGTGACATCGTCTTCAAATTTCTGGAGGAAAAGAGAGAATTACAGAGACCATTTCTCACCCTTGGCTTTTCTCTGTGATGGTTTTTCTTCAATGATTAACAACCCTTCCCCAGAACAATTCCTTGTCATGCTCTTTCTGTGCTCAGGTCAATACAGCTTACTAGAGAATACTGACAGAGCTAATTTCTCCTAAGAAATACATACCCATGCCTTTGAAAACTTCTGTCATAGGAGCTCTAAATAGACCCCAGACTTAAACATTTTCCTCTTTTTCAGTAAATGAAATGAACATTTACCAAACACAGTAACAACACGGCCTGACCCACCATCCACATCTCGTGGTGGTGGGCACCATCCTTTCTGTCCCTGCCCCGGTGCTGGGTCCACTCGGGCACACAGTAGCTGCTTAATAAATGTCTGGATTAACTCACCTCCTGCACTGGCATCTTAGAGCCATGGGCAGAGTATCCCTGTGGTGTTGGTTAGAGCATGCATATGGCACTTTTTCATCCCGCAAACACTTATCCAGGGGGCACTGTGTGCCAGGTCCTGTGTTGGGGACTGGAGGGCCACCCAAACAAGCCAGGTGATATCCTCCTTCAAGAAGCCTGCAGTTTGCTGCACCGGTAAGATGCAGCTCTCCTGCTCGGCTCTGACTATGCAGGTGCCGCTCTTTTTCTTTCTCCTTTTCCTTATAAACCTGACCTCTTAAAAGGTAAAAGAAAAAGGAAGAAGAAGCCTAAGTTTTGGGAGAGACCCATGAAGACAAAGCAGTTGCTGTAATAATAAGGAAGGACTGAAGATGAAGGAGAAATGGAGCATGACGTTCAGGTTTGTAATTGGCTTTTGGTATTAATGCTGCATCCCTTAATGGCGGGACATATTCTGGGAAATGCATCTGTAGGTGATCCCATTGTTGTGTGAACATCATAGAGCGTAATTAGACAAGCCTAGGTGGTATAGCCCACTGCACACCGGCGTGTCAGTAGGGACCACCATTGAAAGTACAGCCAGTATATGGTCAAATGTACTAACTTTCATCATTGTTGGTGAAGGTGCAAGATGGATTTAAACTGACTTGCAGGGGTACATGCTCAGGACAGAGATTTAATGTGGGAGCAAAGAGGCAGGGAGCAGAGCAAGAGGCCCTGGGGGAATTGGAGCCTCTCTAAAACTTTGGGCTTCAGAGCCAATTTTTGTCCAAGTCTGGTTAATGAACCCCCTCATCTGAGGCTCTGGAAATGCTATAAATGGAAATTTGATGGCATCACCCCATGCCTCATGGATCAAATTTTATGGTGGCTAGGTCTCAGGAATCTATTTTACTGTAATAAGAATACCATTATCTGAGCACCCCATGAAGCTGGGAGCCCCTTATTCCTGCACTGCTGGGGGTCTTGCTCATTTCCTGAGGCCTTCCTCTGTCTTCTTTGGAAAGAATACTTGTTTTTCTCATGTTACTGCAATTTTTCCCACCGTGAAACAATCTTGTTCCTTGTATTTTTCTCATTTTATAATCTTGTTTGAGGTTTTGACTTAGAAGGTATTTTTTCAACAATTTTTTAAGAAGTGTTTTACAAATGGAAATTATGCAGACATTTTTTAAACCTACCTTTTAGGGAGAGGGTCAAAGAAAAGGGGGCTAATAATGCCATTGCCAATGACAACCACTACTGATATTTTGACATTCCCTTCTAATAAATTCCATGCAGATATAGTTACTATCTTATTTGATTCTCACCTTTATTCTGGTTTTGTCAGCAGACATGATTTCAGCCATTACCCCTGATGAACTCTTCATACCCATTTTCATGAACTATTGTATAATTACTGGCAGTCAGGGTTTGCATATCACTAAAAGATGATGGAGCACTCATCAAATAGTTCATCAAATAAATATATTTTTAAAATAAGTTTTCAATGAGTATACCAGATGCTAAAGATCTGAGAAAATTGGTGCTCTCCTTCATGACTTACTGATCATGCAATTGATAATACCGCGAGATCCTTAAATGTGATTCCATCTTTTGCCCCAGGAATTCAGCAGGGCAGATTGTAATACTAAGTAAGGCACAGTCTTCGCACAAAGATGCAAATAATAGTACTGTCATTTGGTTTGTGAATGTTAAGTAAGTTAATTCACATAAACACTTAGAATCATGCCTGGCATAGAGTTTGGCTATAACCATTCAGCTATTTGCACATAAAAAGATTATATTTGAGATAATCAGGGAACAACCCATATGTCCAATGGTTGGGAATAGAAAGGAAATTATGATACAGCTACAATGATCGTGTTTTATGCAGCCTCTAGAAATGTTTAATTTGTTTTCTCACTGAATGCAGTATTTTGTATATACCCTCCATTAGCAATATGAGTCATGGGCCCATTGAAAACATACTTCCAGCTACCCCAGCTGGAGATGCTGCCCTTCATCTGGTTGCTGGCAGGGTGGCAGACTGAATGTCCATGCCAAGTTTCATATAGCGAGTGCTGCTCCTATACCAGGTTCTTGTAGCCCCGCGGGTCACGCTGCAGACCAACGCCTGTGCAGCAAAATCTAACCCCTTACTTGTGCCACTGTCTCATCTGTACCTGCTCCCAGCTGGGAGTCTGTGATTATAAACATTCCTTTCCCTTAATTTACTGCTGATGCTCACTCATACTTCCTGAATACATGGTAGAACTCTATCCCTGCAAATGCATTGGCACATTTTCCCAAAGCATCTGCAAAGACCCGTCTTTAAAAGTCACTTTCATCTTTTTCCATTATCCTTATAGGTTTTTTTCATTGATCTTGCAGTTCGTGACATTTTTTGAGGGTAAGTTGAAAATGTTTTGGGGGGGTTGTGAGATATTTAAAGGACACTCAGGCAAAGCTATCCATTAAGTTTTAAAAGCTCTAGGAAAATCAGATTCTTGATGAATTTAAGTCCCGGTCATTTGACAACATGTTGGGAGAGATTCCCATTTGGGCCTAATGTGATGGAAATTTCCAGCTGATGTCTTAAATTGATGGTAAGGGAAAGCAATGCCTAGCTAGCACGTGGCATACAATGGGGATTCGTTCTTTTGGAGAGAATACTGAAGCCTTATTTTCTGTGCTCCATTTCCCCATTTCTTGCCTCTGTCCCCACCACCCTACCCCGCTGGAGAGAACACTCACCGCTTCATCAAAGCCCATGTACAGGAACTGCTGGTACCACTGCTGAACCTCCGGCCGGGTCCGGTCCCACAGCTGCCGCTTCTGCCGCTTCAGGCCGCTTAAGAATTCTTTGGCTTTGTTCTCATCAACAGCCACTTTAGCCATTTTAGTTGGAGCAGGTGCTGAAATGATTAAGCCCCCACCCCACAAAGGACAAAGAATGATTTATTTTCTCATTGGAGTAAATCGCTGGGATATCTCCCACCTGCCAGTCCCATTATGCATGAGATAGTAGTAACTCCTAACTTCATTTCTACATCAACTGTGGTCATCAATCTCCTCACTTCTTGATACGAAGCTCTCCTGTTTGGGTATAGCCAGATAAAGGGGCACAGGCTCACCTTCAAATTTTAAGGCACAGGGTAGAAGCAAAGCAGTTAGTTTTCTGCAGCCACTCCCTATGCCCGATGTAGGCCCATGGGGGAGAGGCATGAGGTTCTGCATTGGGGTGCAGCCTATGTCCCCGGCCACCCTGCTGTGTGATCATTGCATATGGAATCAAGAGGGTGCTGCGCTTGCTTTGGAGATGGGAAAGAAAAGGAATTGGAGTGATGAACCCTGGGGGGCCGGACCAGGCTCATCCTGGCCGTCCTGCAAGTTCTCATATCCAGTTGCTGGAACACTCAGCACCAGCTTGGGCATCATTCCCAGGCCTCCCACATTGTTGATTTGATTGAGTCTTGCCGGGACTGACCTTTGCTTTAACATGACTTCCTCTACTGTCTCTCCCTCATGTTTTCCACTGCTTAGAAGGCAGCATTTCTGTAGGCTCTGCCACTGGGTTGCCCCTCTGTCCCTTCATCTATAAAACTGGACTGACAGACAGCCCCTCGCTTATGAGGCTACATCAAGATAATGAAAGGAAGGTGCCCTCTGTGTCCCATGACCACATCAGGAAATACCAGTGGGGTTTATTTTTTTTACCTCTTGTGTCTCTCCCTCAGGGCATGTTAATATTCTTTTGTATATAGTAGGTACTCACTGTGTATTTCTTGACTTGATAAATAAAAGCTACAGATGTACACCTAGGATTTGTGGTTTTCTTGCTGGTTCCCCCACTTTGTCAGGCTTTCCTTTTGGCTATCCTGCTGCCCTACACAGGGATGGGGCCACCCCTCTGAGGTGCTGCAGAGATGGGGGATGGGCAGGGTGGCTGGAAATGCTGGAAGCTTCCCCAGAAACCCACAGGGGTCCCCTGTCCTCAGCACCTGTGTATGTCAGTGAGGGGAGAGCCCAGGGGGGCAAACTGGGAAGAATGAATGTGGACTAGAGGCCCCCATTCGGGAGGCAACTTTCATCTGCTAGAATCCTCTATTAACTAGGAGAGAAAAGAAGGAGTGCTCATACCAGAAGAGTAGCCACATTTCTTAATTCCTAAGGGATAGACATCTTGCTAATTTTATAGGTGAGGATGACAGTTTCCAGGGCAGTCACAGGCGGGCACCAGGGTCTCCACTGATAGAACTGAGCGCAGCAGCCCAGAGTATATTATGTGACTCTCAGGTGGTTCTATTTCCCGACATTTTGCTGCTGGTCACCACATGTATCTTAGGAATTTTTGTCACAACTGGTGTTAGTAACAGAGGGGTTTTCTGTTTAACCCTCTCCCAAAAACTATCAGAAATAATAATGCAAAGGACTGCAACAATAGCACCCCGTGCCTCCCTCACAAATTAAGGTTTTATGGGCCCTGAAAAATATGCTCTAAATTGGGCCTCCCTGGTGGCGCAAGGGGTTAAGTCTCAGCACTACAAAGTTATCAGCAGCCTCTGCAGCATGAGTTCGATCCCCAGCCAGGGACCTGCTAACCCATATGGTGCAGCAGACCCTTCCTGTCTCGCCTGCTGCTCCCCTCAGCAGTTTATTTAAGTCAATCTGCCTGTTCTGCTCCCCACTCTTCTCCGGTGAATCCTCTCACCCCCTGCACCTCTAGCCTACACCTCAGTTTTTGTATGCATAAATAAATCTTTAAAAAAACTGCTAAAAAAAAAAAAGAATATACTCTAAATACAGCTTTGTACTCTAGAAAGTATCACAACTCTAAACAGCATTCGGTGAGCACGGCAACACTGTTTCTTTCATTTTGGGGTGTGCACTGACAGCTTTGAGAGAAACAGCCTTCAAAAATTGACAATAATATTTATGCAATAAAATAGCACCCTGCAGGCCCACAAAATGACCCTTCAGATCTGCTAACCTTTTAAGGCATGAACACTTTGATTTTCCAAATGCAAGACCCCAGAGAGCACAATCAACACTCCCATTCCATTTCAATCCAGTTAAGAATGCAACCCTGACCCATTCCGTGTATATTTACCTTCGCGTTTTTGGAGGATCAGTCTGAGTTTATTTCCACTTATGCCATCTAAAAGAAAGAAAATAGAAATCAGTTTCAGGGTTGTACTGTACTCTTTGACTTCTCAAATGCAAAAATAAAAGTTAGAAAAGTGTGGGTCTGCTAATCCCACCTATTCGGCCACCATTTTGTTACCTACAGTTCTAAATCCTAAGCAAGGTCAGAACAGCCCGGTCATTTAGGTACAGGAGCCCCACCCTGCAAGGTGCCTTTCAAATCAATCAAGAGCACAAAGCTGGATCAGCTGGGAAGGGTATGCATCACAAGGTATGACAAGGCATGCCCAGGGGACTGATGACCTATGCATAAAACATACTCCCTACTTATACATCTAGTGAGCACCGATGTATAACAAGGGACCCCAGAAGCTGATCAGTGGAAAGCCTTGTTGATAAGATTGAAACCCTGGCTGGGGAACTAGAGCTTGATCCCAATTACAATACTAAGTCATCAAGCAGATGAGAAGTGCCTGGAGGTCAGACTCACAACCCCTGATACTAGTTTCTAGTTTCACCCCTTCCTTTTCTCTTTGTCCTCCTTCCTCTCAACTGATGCTGTATAATTCTTCTATCAATAACAAGGCCAGGATCTTGGTCTTCAGCAGCATCCTGCATTATGTAGCCTGCTCCACGACTCCCGTTTCTTTATCAGCATGGTGTTGCCCGATGCAACAGAAAAGTTCACTTCATTCGTGTATTGTGATCTGGCATCTTGCTAGTGTTACGGTTTTGAACCCTAGTTGCACTCCCTGTCATGCAGCAAAACATCATCAGAATGCTCAGTGGCTCAAAGCTTGTGACAGGGATCATGACTGACCAAGGCCACCACTGTTCAAGCTACTTCTTAGGCAAAGTGACATCGTTCTCTCAGCCCTCATGTCTCACTAGGAGGGCGACCATCTGTCCTACACACCTTCCTGCCAACTTTTACTTTTCATATAATATAAGGGGGATTAAATAGTGTCTCCCCAAATTCATATCTACTAGGAACTTGTGTGAACTTATTTGGAAATAGGGTCTTTGCAGATGTAATTAGTTTAGGATGTTGCAATGATATAATGGATTTAGGGCAGAGACTGTTCTTGTAAGAGGAGAAGATACAGAGAAAGAAACTATAGGCAGAGGCAGGCAGAACGGGAGTTGTGTGGTCACAAGCCCAGGAAATGCCTTAGCGCTCTAAAAATTCAGTCCAGGTCCAGAAGTTCCCGCGTCTCCGGAGCGCTTAGGAGCCCCGAGGCAGCGTGTGGCCGGCTCTGGCCAGGAGACTCCCGGACCCCGGCAGCTGCCTCCATCCTCTGTGCTGGACCCCATCGCCCCCCAGCGCTGCTCCCGAGCCCTCGCACGTCTGTGAGAGCAGCAACAATGGACGAATCTCTGGTCACAACCTCGGGAGATTTTTAAAGTGTGATATGAAACCACTGCCATCCATGGAGGGCCTGGAAAGATCTTAGAATATTGTCATATGTCCTTGGGCAGCTTCTAGGAGCAAGGAAGGCAAACAGAATATATACTGATGGGAGAAGAGACGGTGGTACTAGAAGACACGAGCTAAGAAATATCTGGAGGATATGGAGAGATAAATCACTGCACCTTTCAAGATGATTCTGAACAACCACTCAAGCTATTCTTTAATGCCCAGAAATGTATGGCTTCTTCTACTTAATCCATTTCTTCTATACAACGTGTAGAAAACAAGTGCAAAGGATAGACTAAGGTCATGGACTACAGGTGCTTTGCTGGTTTCTAAATTCCTGCTATGAGTGAGACCATCCAGTGTTTTTCGTCTTCTTTCTGGCTTATTTCGCTGAGCATGATCCCTTCCAGTGCCATCCATGTTGCTGCAAATTGCATGTGTTTATCTTTTTTGAATGCTGAGTAATATTCCATGGTGTATATGCACCACCTCTTCTTGATCCAGGCATCTATTTTTGGGCATTTGGGTTGTTTCCAAAGCTTAGCTATTGTAAACAGGGCTGCTGTAAACATAAGGGTGCAGGTGCTCTTTGGAATTGATGTTTCTGTGTCCTTTGGGTAAATACCTAGGAGTGGAATCGCTGTATCCTATGGAAGCTCTGTCTTTGGCAGGTCGAGGAATCTCCACACAGCTCTCCATCGTGGTTGGACCAGTTTGTACTCCCACCAGCAGTGCAGGAGAGTTCATTTCTCTCCACATCCTCGCCAACATTTGTTGTTGCTAGTTTTTTAAATACGTGCCATTCTCACTGGTGTGAGATGGTATCTCATGGTAGTTTTGATTTGCATTTCCCTGATTGCAAGTGATGTTGAACATTTTTTCATATGTCTGTTGGCCATTTGCATTTCCTCTTTGGAGAAGTTTCTTTTTAGCTCTTCTGCCCATTTTGTGACTGGATTATTTACTTTGTTTTTTTGAGTCACTTCAGCTCGCTAAGAGCATTCATTATTCTATGAGGACATCAGAAGTCTGCATACTTAAATCTCTAGAAACTTCTAAATATTGATTTTACACATGATCATCACCAAAGAAATCTTTCAGGATCAGTACAATCCTGATTACTTTCTGAACTGTGTAGGTTTTTCTTCTGATTCATCAATGAAAAATACTTGTTTTAGAATTGAAAAATCCCCATACTTTGTCCCCTCTTGTCACCGATGAAGACATGGAGGTGCCGCTGAAAGCCATCTTCCCTCAGCGCCCAGGGGCCCGAGGAGGAGACAGTGATGATCACTGAGGGAAGGGAAGGGAAGGGAAGGGCAGCCATAGTCTCTTCTGACTTGCTGGAGAAGCAGCTGTCAGTAGTTCTCCTGAAGCCTCCTAACAAAGGTTAAAGGCTCCATTTAACTAAGCCCCTGGCAGGGCCTCCAGGATGGCCTAGGGGTTAGTCTCAGCGCTCTCACCGCTGCGGCCTGAGTTCGAGCCCCGGCCAGGGGGCTACCCGTCAAGGAGCGTGGGAGCGAGCCCCCGTGAGGGGGTATGGAGCTAGAGCGCATGTGGTGCAGCAGAAGGTCTCTTCTCTCTGTGCCTGCTGCTCCACTATGCTCTGTGCTTCAGATCGCCCTCCTCCCTCGCCCCCCCCTCCTCCCTCGCCCCCCCTCCCTCGCCCCCCCCACAAGTCTTCCTAATAAAATCTGACACCTAGATACTCCCGAGTGCAATGCCACATCAACACCCTCCGTATGTAAAGCATCCATTACCCCGTAGTACCTTGATCAACTACACCAGATGTGTAGCTTACCCTAATCAACTTATAAGCAGGCATTATTTATACTATTTGCTGTTGTTTTCATTCAGTTCTAAAAATGTTTCTATTAACCCAATCATTTTAATAGAAAATAACACATCTTGGTCTGTTTGAACATCCTCTATCATCTGGTGAATTTTAGAGGAGACTCTGGTGCTTAAGGGGGACCCCAAGACAACGGGAATAAAAGCCTGGCCTCAGTAATAAGCAGGACATCTTCAACCACAAGGGGCCAGCATCTGGCCCCAGGATGGAGACAAGGCTGCCCACTTTCAGTGTCCATCCACAGACAACCCAAGACCTGAGTTTGCGCATCTGCAGGGACAACCTTTTCTGGGAATAGGGGTCATAGCTTTTGTCAGTTTCTCAAGAGGGTCTGGGACCTAAATAGGAACTCCTGCTTAAACCCCCTGTGTGGTTGGGGATGGAGAGGAGAGAGAAACCACATGTGTAATCAAAGACCGTAAATTGGCGACCCATAGCTAAGTTTTAGCTGCAGATGTGTTTTATTAGTGAACCCAGTGTTTACAAAATTTGAGTGTGAAGGTCTCTGGGCTCAAGCCTGTCAGCATACCCCATGTCCATAAATAACCACTTCACAATGCGCTGCATGTGGGCGTTTGAATGGAGAGCTACCCAACTGCCTTTAGGGCACGTGTGCCAGGCCAGGGGGCCGGTTTGCAAAGCCTCTTCAGGGGCCACACTGAAGGGCTGGGGGGCCAGGCAGAGGTGGTGGTGTTATCTCAGGACATCCTTTCCCCCTAACAGTGTCACCCTCTCATCTCCCATGGGAAGGTTGGGAGTATACCGGACAGTAGACCAAGATAGTACAGTGCAGCGGCCCATCAAAGGATGCAGCGCTCTCTGACTATGTTCCTGTCAGTCCTCAGTGATGTGATTGTTTAAAAAGCAATTGCAGGGGCCTCCCTGGTGGTGCAAGGGGTTAAGCATAGCACTATGAAGCAATTCACAGTCTCTGCAGCAGCACAAGTTTGATACCCAGGCTGGCCAGGGAGCAACCCACATGGCGCAACAGACCTCTCCTGTCTCGCCTCCTGCTCCCCTCAGCAGTGCATTTCAGTAAAGCTGCTTGTTCGCCCCACTCTGGTGAATCCTCTCACCGTGCCCCCACCCCTGCCCCACACCTCTGGCCTGTACCCCAGCTCGTGTATGTATAAATAAATAAATCTTAAAAAAAAAAAAAGCCTGGACTCAGTAATAAAATAAATAAATAAAAAGCAGTTGTAATTTTAGGCTGCATGAATAAAAGGATAGCATCTTGCAGGAGAACAATTGTCCTGTCTCTGTCCTATCACTGCTCCCATCAGACCAGCCTCTCCTATTTGGTTCAGTCACAATTTCTCACTTTCAGAAGGTCACAGAAAAGCTGGAGTTGTGATCAAAGCAGAATCCAGAGAAGACAAGGGCCCAAATGTGTTACATGAGAAAAGATGAGAGAATTTAGATGTTTAACCTGAAGAAATGAAACTTCTGGGCAAAGAACTATGGCTCTAAGGGGGGCACAGAGAGGGAGTAGGTCATACGCAGAGACTGCCCACTGAGCATTGCTGGAGGCAGCTGAGTATAAACAAGCAGAGAGGAGCACAGGGCAAGGCCATTGTCAAGGGATTATTTAATTAAGTGGGGTGGGACTACGCTTGAAGATTGTACCTCTTTTCCATCCTTAAGAGTAAATGAAGCAAATCTATAAAAACATTTGCTAAAGCTGACAGAAACATTCCTTGGCACTAATATTAGCAAATCATTAATATCTTAACATTTGTCAATCTCCAACAACTCGCAGGGTCATATATACAGATTTAAGTATCATCTCTCCATCTGTTTGCCTTCTGTAAAAGCACTTAACAATTAATGAATAAAATGTGGCCAGATGTTGAAATAGACATTGGGTTTAGGCATTTATGATGTGGCTGCAATTTCTGGCAGCAAACGTGTGTCACTACTGCTCCAAAAATGAAAGCCTCACCACCTCTCAGCTATACAACTGAGAAGCCTGCGTGAATTATTAATGTCACCACTATCCAATTACTACACACTGAAGTGCAAATATTAATACATGTAATTGAACACCACACTAAATTTGTTTGAAAAGAGGAATAAAGATCCAATGAATAGCAATTTGGTTTTTTTTATCTGTTGCATGGATTTTTTTTTAAACCTCCACATCACCAGTCATTCTTTCTAGGCTGCCAAAAAAGGCAGTCTTGAATTTATTAGGTCTAGTTACGTGGCACTAGATCTCTCAGCAGATTCAGAATGACAGGATGCCCCTTTGAAGGTGTTACCTATTAATAAACTGATCAAGACTAGGCAGTGATGATTTTCTCTATTAAAGGTTTTTGGGTGTCATACCATGAGTCACCTTCAAGACGCGTAGGTATAAAGATTTTCATTTTCTGTCATAAGATCTTTCACATTCCAGCTCACTGATAATATTTTAACTGATTCCTTTTACTACCTTCTTGGCATGAGTGAAAAACAAACACACACAAGTCATGAAAAGGAATGGCTTCTAGTCAATGCTCACTCCCATTATTTGAATGCACTTCTTACAAAATAGTGGCAATAAAGGGGGAGTGGGAGATAAATCCGGTGATGGGAATATATTGATTAGCCTCCCCTGTGGTTGTAACTTGGTGTAGGGTAAGGTAAAAGGTATCAGGCTTTTCTGCCTTCCTGCCATCAGGATAGATGAGGGAACCCTGTGATCCTGAATGCATGCCTGATGGCGGGCACCTGAAGTGGATACACTTGCGCTAAGACTGTGCTTTTAAGGGCGGCGTCACAGGGATGCCAGAAGAAGCCGAGAAGCAGCAGAAGCCGAAATAGAAGCCAAGAGAGAAGCAAGAGAAGCAGAAGTCGAGAGAAGGCCAGAGAGCCCACAGAGTGAAGACCTGCTGGGGGCTGGGAGGCCTGCCAGACTCCCGGCCCCCCAGCACCCCTGCCTGCCATATGCCTGGTGAACCCCAATAAAAGACCTGCAAAAAACCACTGAGGACTCTGACTCCTCCTTTACCCGGTCTGCATGGGATCAGAAAACCTGCACTGTGGTCCTTCCTGCCACTACACTTGTAATAACAGCAACGCTTACTGCACAGACCCCTGATGTTCTGCCACCTCAGCGGTCCTACTGCGGTACTCCTCACTCACCTCCACCAGGCGGCAGCTTTTCCAGGCCTGATTTGGATAAGGGACTTACAGAAGTTGAGCAATCAAGACCATCTTCCTTTTCCATTAGATAGCTCCTGGCTACTTTGTGCTGAGAAAAGCACCCGCCCAGGGGAGGTCTCTTCAAGCTTTTCAGCCCCAGACTCTTAGCAGTAGATCTGGGGTTTCAGGACCTGCCTCCTAGATTTGTAAGCCTCCACTCCTACATCCCAGAGGCCACTAGTGAACCAAGAAGGACCAGACATGCTGGCATTGTCCAGACAAAAATACTATCCAGATTGCCCTTTCTAAGGGGGGGGGGGGAAGTGTTGACTCTCAGCATTGCAGAATGGGTACAATAGAGAAACTTAAGCATTTCTCCCTTAAGAGGGTTTTCCCTATATAATTGGATGCCACACTAAATTCATCTGAAGGAAAAAAGAAACACAAAAATGAATCATTGTGATTTTTTTCCCTACTATGGATTATTTTTATCTTAACATCAACATTTCCCCTATGTGGGCTGTGAGATCTGGCAGTTTTGCAGAGCTGGGCTTGACCCAGGTGGGAAGAATCTGGAAGGGAATCAGGTGATGATGCCCTTTGCCTATGCTCAGATCCTGAGGGCATGACCAGCTTAAAGTTCCTATTATCCTTTTGCCCCTTATGTTAAGCCCCAAACACTTTTTGTGCTTCCTTGGGACCCTCAGCCCTTTTTCCTTCCAGGGTTATCACACATGTCTGTGCCCCTGCCCTTGACCCTGCAACACTGCCAGCCCTAGCACCTCACTTTTCAGTGTCCGAGTGAGAAATCCAAAAGACCCTACTATCCCCTGCTCTTGCCTGGGCTCAGACTGGGTCTGTGTGCCTGCACCCAGCCATCCCTTTCCTTTGTGCCCTAGCTTTGCCCCACTCACCTGGGCCCAGGCACAGCAGCAAAAGCAGCGTCAGCGCGGTCAGGGCCAGAACCGCGGGCCGAGCGGAGGAGGCAGGCATTGCTGCACGGTGGGCGGCAGGAAAAGCCTTAGGATAGAGCTGCTGCTCCTGTGGGCAGAGCGCAAGAGAGTGGGGCGCAGGCGGGTCCTCCTTTCATCCCAGTCTGGGCTGAACCCGCTGAGCTGGCGTGCAGCCAAGTGGCTGCAAGCCAAGGAGCTGCCTCAGGTGCCCAAACTCTAGCTCTCCCATGGCTTGAATGGGGCCTCAGTCCCTGGGCTTCAAGGCAAGGTCACCGAGGACCCCTGAGCCAGGCACAGCGTGACCCCTGAGGACAAGCCGATTTCTGGCTGCCCAGGAAAGGCCAGAAAAATCCAAAAGGGAAAAGGCTTATGGCCAGGGGAAGAGAGAGGAGCTCAACTGCCCTATCCTAGCTCTGGTCTCTGCCTCTCTCTCTTCCCCACCCTCTCTCCACAACCTGGCTCCCTGACTGCCCTGCTGTCTCCTCTTTTGGCACCAACACTTCCCTTCCTTTGCATCTTGCTCCCTAGGGCACAGGGCTGCTTTGCCTTGGCTTATAAAGTGGTCTCTGGTATTTCCTTCATTCCCCACACTGCACTTAGTGATGCCTTTGGCAATGCTGTGTTCTGTGATATTTTAAAAGACTTCACAGTCTGGGTTCAGAAATGCAGTCCTGGAAAACATCTCACTCCAAACTACTCCTATAGGAAAGTCTTTCAGAAAGCAGGAGTGGGTGGTGGGCTCTGCTGATCTTTGTAAAACAAATGCATCCTGTTGTACACTTGTAATCCAGGCACATTTCATGAAACTAACATGAGGCCGGAGAATGAAAAACTGCTCTCCCAGTACCAGCCTTTTCCAATAGAGAAGACTCATAAAACGTGCCTGGTGTGAAGAACTAACTGACCTTGAACAGCTCATCTAGTTAATTTCTGGGCATGGTTTACAAAATGAGCTCCAGGTGAAGTTACCTTCAGGGCCTCTTCCATCCCAGACCTGCTCTGAGCTTAGCTGGTTACCTCTTTTCTTCATCTGGTTATCACTTTTTTTTTTTTTTAAGATTTATTTATTTATACGAGAACGGGGGTACAGGCCAGAGGTGCGGAGGGTGAGAGGATTCACCAGAGACAGAGTGGGAACAGAACAGGCAGACGGACCAAAAACACTGCTGAGGGGAGCAGGGGATGAGATAGGAGAGGTCTGCTGTGCCATGTGGGTATTTCCCTGGCTGACCGGGATGCGAACCCACGCTGTAGAGGCTGCGGACAGCTTCACGGCACTGCGCTCAACGCCTGCGCCACCAGGGAGGCCCTGGTTTGTCACTTTTTTATACCTTCCAGTGCTAAATGTTTACCACCATCTCACCATATAATTAGCTCTCCATGTAATGCAGTTGGATTGGGCAGATGGTGAACCAGAAAGAAGCAAATGTGTATCGGGTCTAAGGAAATAATGACTTGGACAGCACAGGCTTCCCAATGTGCCAGAGTCTGTCCTGAAGAAGACAGGTTAAATATCAAACCATTGTAGGGAAATGTTTACAAACCCTCAGGGAAAAAGCAGTAAGGGTAGGATTTTAAAAAGCAACTAAAAAGTACATTTGGGTCCTCCCTGGTGGTGCCAGGGGTTAAGATGCAACCTATGAAGCTATTTGCAGCCTCTGCAGCACAAGTTCAATCCCAGGCCAGGGAGCTACCCACATGGCGCAGCAGACCTCTCCTGCCACGCCCACTGCTCCCCTCAACAGTGTATTTCAGTCAGTCTGCCTGTTCTGTTCCCCACTCTGTCTCTGGTGACTCCTCTCACCCCCCACACCTCTGGCCTGTACCCTTGGATAAATAAATAAATCTTTAAAAAAAAATACATTTGCTTTTGCCCAAGGACCAGAGTATTATTAGGAAGAAGACTAAAGTAAATAGACACCAATGTTCTCTTTGTATTGGTCCAGGACACACATGACAGGTAGTAGTTGCAATATTTTTTTAATCTTATAGAGATCATCCTCCTCCCTTCATATTTCCCATAGTATTTGCTTCTGATATTTATATTCTCATCTCTCAACGAGGCTCTCATCAGAGCTGAGTTCACGTGGCCAGTGAAGACAGCAGCCAGCTCCCTGTCCTCTCTCTCATCACTTCCCTTCCTAATTGAAAATGCAGAGGCAGTTTTACTGTTTGTTCATTCAAAAATTCCTTGGCAGGAGTTGGGGGAAGTCTGCTTAAACATGCTCATACAGTGTAAATATTTTTGGTGGGCCTACATTAAAAAAAAAAAGCAAACCTTGATGACTGTTTTAATATAGAAATGGTAAGACAAATGAAGGACCTCACAGAAAAGCATTTTAGATAATTGCCAATAATGTGAGAGGACATCTGCTGAGAATGAGGCCTGGCTCACGTCTCCACGGAGGGGGCAGACACAGGGGTGCTTCCCAAGCACTCAAGCTGAAGTTCTGGGGAGCAACAACGGCCGTTTTCACAGGAAGGGCAAGATGAGGAGACACCACCTAAAGAGTATACTGGTGCTAAGTCGGCTTTGTAAAATAAGTGTGTACTTCCTCACTAAGAAGATACAAATGAATACTGTTAGCTGCAAAGTGCCCATTTGATAATCACACGGAGCATTGATGTTTACTTGCAAAATAAGAATGGCTTCTAAGAGATGTTAGAACATCTCTTAGAGGACAGCAGCCAGCTCCCTGTCCTCTCTCTCATCCCTTCCCTTTCTAATTGAAAATGCAGAGGCAGTTTTACTGTTTGTTCATTCAAAAATTCCAAGGCAGGAGTTGGGGGAAGTCTGCTTAAACATGCTCATACAGTGTAAATATTTTTGGCCATGTTGACCAATACACTGGATTGGTCAATAGTGACTGGATTCTCAATATCTGCCAATAACAGAGACAGCCTCTTCAGTAAAATTCTTATTGAACATAATTAGTATGGAAAAGTGTGGAGACTAAATAACAACATAACCATCAAGAAGCTACTTTATCATGCCAGGAGCCTCTGCCTCTCCCAAACCCTTTCTTCCCCAAATATAATAGTTTGGGGCAATCCGCCTTTAAAAACATCTCATTGGTATTTTATTTTCACTTCCTTAAAAAGAAAAACATTCAGAAAATAAAGACATGATTACCAATAGGAAGACAGCGAATAATACAAGGAAATACTGAAAGTGTAAAGTCCATGACTGTGGATTTAATACAAGAATAAGAAGACAGTAAAATGCTTGACCATGTGTAATGAGCAGGAATGGACACAGAGCAGGATCCCTATGATCCGAGAAGACAGGGTAAGGAGGAGAGAGTCCTAGAGCCCTCAGTGGCTTTTCAGGCTTTTCTTGTGATTTTACTGGGTACACAGCAGGCAGGTGTGCCGGGGGGGGGGCGCTGGGAAGGCTGGGAGTCTTCACTCTTTCTGGGCTCTCTGGCGTTCTCTGATGGCCTTGTTCTCTGCTGCTCTCTGCTTCTGCTGGCGTTCCTGTGACGCCGCCCTTATAAGCCCAGTCTCAGCACAGGTGAATTCCATCTACCTATGCCCACACCCTACTCCAGGTGCCCCCATCAGGACGCATTCAGGACTGCAAGGATCCATCATCTATCCTAATGGCGGGAGGGCAGAAAAGACTGATGCTTTTATCTACTCTACCCCATGGGATGGACTTCACATTAAGATTGCTAATTTTTTAAGGTGAAAATGGTTTCATAGTGAATTTTTAAAGTGCTAATCTGTTAGAACTGCATACTACCATATTCATAGTTAAAAGGATGTGAGGTATGAGATTTGCCTTAAAATATGTCAAGATAAAAGACTGGAAAATATCAGTAATTCTAGTTAGAAAACAATATTATTCTCTGTGTATGTTCACAAATTCCCATAATAAAAAGTTAAAAATATATTGAATCTAGTGACACTTCATTGCTGGAAAATATAGAACACACACATGACCTTCAGAATCTCTAGTCTTTAAATATATGAAAGTTATTGTTTTCCTTGCCTGTAGGTTGCTCAGTGTCCCTAACACTCAATTTCTGAATAAGATCTCTGTCCTGTCACAGCTCCATAGCTTTGCCCACAACATCCCCTCTCTGCGGTGACACTACCCTTTTACCCTTTTTTTTTTTTAAAGATTTATTTATTTTTACACAAGAGCTGGGGTACAGGCTAGAGGCTCAGGAGGGTGAGAGGATTCACCAGAGACAGAGCAGGGAACAGAACAGGCAGTTTGACTGAAATACACTGCTGAGGGGAGCAGCGGGCGCGACAGGAGAGGTCTGCTGTGCCATGTGGGACTCTCCCTGGCCGGCCAGGAATCGAACCGGCACTGCAGAGGCTGCGGACAGCTTCACAGTGGGGCGCTCAACTGCCTGTGCCACCAGGGAGGCCCAACACTACCCTTTTCTCTGCTAAGGAAAACCCTACTGTTCCAGTTGACTATCACTGCAGGCTTCAGGGGGTGGTTCTGCTTCACCCAGTATTTACACAGCTCACTGGAGAGTGCTCAGCACATCGGCCATAGTGGGCGTCCCTGAGAGCTCTGTTCCTAGACCTGGCACCAGAATGGGTTAGCTGAAAAAGGTGGTTAGCTGGACCAACTGAATGGTCAACTCAGGTATTTACATGTAGGTCCAACATGAGGGTCTCACAGCACAGGGAGCCTCAGAGCTCACAGATAGAGTGTTCCAAGATCAGCTATTCCAAAAGACAAACTGATAGTATCTTAGGAAACTGATAGTATCTTAGGGCCTTGGCCTGGAAACGGACATGAATGGATACCACAGAATTCTGCTGATCACATAACCCACCAGCATTCAGGCCCAGGGATGGACGTCTATAGGGTAAGTGATTATCAGGCTTTTCTGCCCTCCCTGCCATTAGGATTGATGATGGATCCATGAGGTCCTGAATGCATGCCTGATGGCCGGCACCTGGACTTTGTTACATTATTATATTCAGTTGTATTGTTTACTTTGTGGGCTATGGCTGCAGTATTTATATTGACCAAGGGAAACTTGTAGAGGCCACAAGAGAAGGCCAGGGAGCCCAGTGAAGAGTGCAGATTCCTTGAGGGGGGGCACTGGGAAGCCTGCCAGCCTCCCCGCCAACCCCTGTACCCCTG